TTCTAGACACCTTGGGTCATCAAGGTTAAGTGCTATGAATATTATTTTGATATTCGAAAAAATATAATTCTGCCAAGTTAAGGGTTAATTGAATTGTTGACCTCAACTGTTATTTCCCGACCTCAAGGGCTGTCGTGCTATCCGTCCTCAAATTCCCTTCCAAATTACTTTGACACCGTCAAATGGTTTTCAATCTAAGCCGATGATAATGGAAATTTAATGCGCTCCGATCAGTCGGATAATATAGCTAAGAACTAATAACCGCTAATCTATTTCATATTTAACACTTACGGCCGAATACTGGAACATAGTTTAAATATAACAGCGTCTTAAACGATAAGACCATGCTTAAACTTCTAATTCCTTAGCAATTCTCTAATAAGCAATTCAGTATTTAGCTGTTGACATTAAAATAGATAAGGAAATAACTTAGATGACCTCGTGGCGGGTAACTTAATCCCAAAGAGGATGTTCCAATTTGATTCAGTTGATTTGATTTTCAACTATGAATTTTAAAATATATATCGAGATTTTTACGATCATTCGTTTCAAACTGAAACATACAATGACAAAAAAAAATACAATTGTGATAATTTAAAAAGTTGTAAGAAATACCTTTTTGTGACATAAAATATAGGGTTCAAAGCTAATTTCTTATTGGTCTATATTGTTTTTATTATATTTCAAGAATATTTGCTAGAAAAAGGTAGATAGATTATAACGTGTTAGTTAATATTTTAAAAAATGATAAAAGAGGTTATTTAAAATGTTTATAGTAACTTAGGAATAAGATTTAATCAGTATTCAGCTCATTTGTGTTTGATTGAATACGTAACGAGGTAATAAAGTACATTGTTTAAAATATCTTCTGCAAACACAACCATTTGCCGCGGCGCAATCAAGCTGAAAAGATTGCGTTTACTATGTTGAAATATGTTTATTATCATACTTATAAACAATTGAATAATAATTGCAATATTACTTCTCAAAAACAAGACTTTAAAAAGGCAAAAAACAATAAGTGCAATTGAAATGGGAAATCGTAGACTAGGTTACTGTATTAACGTTATAATTAGATAAATTTTTAATTATTGCCAAGTCATATAGCATAGTTGCCTAGTAAAACTGATATTGAGAGAAGTATAAGTGGCATATAACAAAAATTGGCACGTACCTCTGGCAACTCGTCGGGCACCTTTCCCATCCACGACAACGACAGTATAGTACAATCGCATTTAGCGTTAACATTACGCTCGAAGTGTAGATGCATTTTTGAGTAGATTTCACACCTGTTTGAGAGACATTGCTATTGTAAAGACCGCGAGCTTCACACCTGTCTTGGTTAATTTTGTGTATTTTTTCGAGGTTATCAGCAAACACATTTTCTGATATGTTGCATTGGAAACGCGACGATGTCAGGTAGCGTGTAAGCGTGCCGAGCGGCCGAGGGGCGTTCGGTTGTCTTGACAGGGTGACAAGCGAGGCTCGGGCGCGCGGGGCGGCGGGGTGTGGGGGAGCGGGTATTGATTGTGCGCAGGGCTGCGGAGCGCACCCCGCGCCCTCTCACGACATTTTCCGCCCGCCTGAAAAACCGGACTTTACACGGAGATGGCGCTTAGATTACATTCAAACTGAATTTCTGTAACTGAATTTTGAAACAGTTTGAACACGTTTAGTAACAAAATACTAAATGTTAAAATTAAAATTGACAAACTAGGTAATAATTTTGTATAAAAAAAATAACTGTTTACTTTAGTAACAGTCCCTCTTTTCCTAAGTGACAGTAGTTTCAACTATCCGCACAGCACTTAACTCAATTAAAATGTACGAGTGCTTTTCTAACGTGTTTGTCCTCTCTAAATTTATTCATATAGAATAAACAGGCTTTCTCAAAGTGTTCTGTTACTGTCTGAGTTCCCAACCTCAGCTTTTGCTCACGTGCAATATTTATCTAAAGAAAGGATAATGCGGGTCGTTATCCAGTGTTTTGCACAACAATTGTTGAGATTTTCAATGGAGACGGCTGTAGTCGCTACATTTTATCTCTCTTCGAATTGAATCCATTTTTATTCCTTTTTTATGTTAAACGTTTTATATTATTCATAACCTCGATTACTTTGTCAGTCGGACATAAAAAAAAGATATATTTCAGGAAGTACAATGAAATTTTTCCGCTCGGTGAAAAGCTTCTTGTTTAGATTTTATTATAAAAAAGTAGATATTTTACACAAGCTGTCGACCGCGACTCTGTCTGCGGGAAATTAAAAAAATAGTGGTCTACGTGTGATCCACTAAAGAGATACATAGTAACGAACACCAATTAGATGGATTTTCGCGTTTAAAATATTAGTAAAAAGTAATATTTGGCTGGGAATCAAATATTGTAAGACCAGATATCGACTACTGAATACATTAATAACATAGGGGTCATAAATCATAATTTTAATCGAACCTTATCGCTCGGCATTGATTTTGTAATATCCTATTCGTTAACCGGTACAGCGGTACATAGTGTAGGTAGCCATCTCACTGCCTAACGATATTGAAGTGACAGTGCGTGATAAATTGATCGATTGATTCTGATCGAAAGAAGATTGGTAAAAAACATATCAAAATTATACCAAGACTTTATCGAGATTTTTAAAGAAATATTTGATGATACTCTATATTTACATATTATAATTAAACATCCATTAAAATGATTTTTATTCAATTAAAACATTTTTATTACGTAAAGCTTATGTACTACTAGCTTTCGCCAGCGAATTTTTTCCGCGAGGAATTAAAAAAAAAACATATGAGTAGCCTGTATGTTGTTCCAGACTATGCTCTACATCTATGACAAATTTCATTGAGATCCGTTCAGCCGTTTCGGCTACAAATTCTAACAAACATCCATCTATCTAAACTTTCGCGTTTATATTAGTTAGAAGTCAGATGGTAATTATTGCCGAGCTAGAGTATGGAAATGAAATATTTGAATAAAACACAAATTTCGGATAAAAAGAGATTTTATTTGCAAAAATAAACTAATAATCCATGATAATATAGTAAAATATTTTAAATATTACAGACTATATATTTACAAATTTCATTACCAGTCTCAAATTCATACCAATATTTCATTAAGTTTACCCCAAGTTTTTCCCGATTTCACTTTAACTGGTAGCGGAACATTTAAACTTACCGTGTCCTCCATAACTTGTTTTAGAACTTTCGAGAATTCTTTCATATGTTTTTCTTGTACTTCATAAATGAGTTCATCGTGCAGTTGTAGGATGAGACGAGGTTTTATATGAGGCAATTGCGTTTTATCTATAGCGCACATCGCTGCTTTGGCGACGTCGGCTGCCGACCCTTGAATTGTCGTGTTAACTGCTTGACGCTCTGCAGCACCTGTATTAAAATTATATCAAAAACACTATAAACTGCAATAATCTTACTAATATTTTAAATGCGAAAGCTTAGATGGATGGATGGAGGTTTGTTAGAGTTTGTAGCCTAAACATCTAAACAGATTAGGAAGAAATTTGGCATAGATGTAGAGGATAGTCTGAAAGAACGCATTTGTATTTTTTAATTCCGAAGGACGGAGTCGCAGGCATAAGCTATGTTCAATAAATGAAAATAAAACTAACTTCTTTTATGAGGTTGATTACTTCTAATATCAGGTAAATATCTTCGACGTTTCTTTAGAGTTTCAACATAACCGTGTTCCTTACACGCGTCTATAATTGTTTGTGTGAACATTTTTATCGAGGGATACGTTTTATAGAATGTATCCATGAAGACTGCAGCTTCGACTTCTGTTACATCTAAATGTTGACTCAAAGTCCTGTTGCCCATACCGTACAAAATACCGTAGCAAAGTTGTTTAGCTTTCTGACGGAGATCGTCGTCAACCTATGGGAAAAAGGCACACAATTATCATCCAATACTATTTTTAAAATTTACTATACATCGTCACCTTCCTCCTTATTTTACTCGCGTAAGGTCGGCGCAACGGGTTTTTGTCCTCCACATAACTCTATCATACGTTATCTCAGTCATCACTCCTTTCTTGATCATGTCACCTGGCACGCAATCCATCCATCTCTTTCTAGGTCCACTTCTACTGGTGTACCTCCACACTCATAACTAACGTTCTCCTTGTTACATGCGAATCATCCCTCCTCATAACATGCCCATACCATGTAAACCTTTTACTCTTGACCTTCTCTACGACTGGGGCTACTCTCAAACTTCCTCTAATATTTATAATAATCTAATATTTCTTATCTTTCACGACACATCCATCTTAACATTCGCATTTCTGACACATGTAGTTTCATTTCATCCGTCCCTTTACTGCCCCATATTTAAATTTACTATACAAATTCCAAAATTTATAATTTTTACTGTATTAACCATACGATGACACTTTAAACAAAATAGACCCATTATGTTTTTATTTTCAAATCATTTTTCGAAAAGATTTTTACCTCTTTCTCTGATAAAGAGCTCCACGAAGCCGCTATAGCTTTGAAAACATCAACATCAGACCTCATAATCTTCGTCAAAACAGGGTCACGGCTGTAGTGGGTGAGTATTCTCATTTCCAACTGACAATAATCAGCAGAAACGAAAACACAGCCCCGAGTTGCTACGAACACGTTTCTGCAGTTGAACTCTATCACGTCGGTAGAAAGGTCATTTTCGTTTGTCAACGTGAGATATTTTAGGGGAATAGAGAACGTTCTTGGTACATTTTGTAGGTTCGGCTCTCGCATAGTTATACGACCGGTGCAAGTGTGCATTGTGTAGGAGGGGTTTATTCTGAAAACAATGTCGTATTCATGACTCTCACCGCTCGCTCACTATATCAAACACTATGTAAGATATGCGAGTTAAGACTATTCCGAAATGTTTTCATACTAAATAGAGAGTGTTTTATTAAAGTGGTTCTTTAGTTTGTTAATGGAACTGCTACGTAAAAGAATATCTGTAAGAGCACGTAAAATAAAAAAATAACCATGGGTTAAAGTTAAAACCCCAGATAAAATAACTAAAAACACTTTTTAAAGATCTTTAAAGGGTGGTCTATATTTTGTATGTGTGTTTCTGCAATAGAAGCCCACGTTGATAAATTCCATGTAACACAAACCTGTCGACCGTAGAGTAGTTGCTAGCTTTCTCAGTCAGTGGGTATAAAGTTTTAGTTAATATTGCATTTAATTTTCTCCAGTATATAACAATACTGGCCAGAGGACTATTATGTGCGGTTAGCACACTTTTCCTTGTACTCACTCTCCTACCTTTGTAGAATCCTAATACCTGGAATTTAAAAAAAAATCACAAAAAGTTGACACATCCCATGCCACTATGATTGCAAAAGTGAACTTAGGAATCAAAAAGGTAGCAATCAAAGTGTTAATTTAACAATATCTTAAACTTACTACAACCATCTTATAAAAAAAGCAATAAAATCACCTTCGCGACATCTTTCGACGAATTAAAATTAAAATGATATCCGCATATTTTGTAAGCTTTCTTCATCAATATTTCTTGCGAATTTTTCACATCAATCAAAAGTTTCGCGGACAGATCTCTGTCGACCGCGAGGCCGTTGTATTCGCAATTCGCTAAAATCCTTGCAACATGAGTTTCCACATCTATAAGATAAATAAAACTCTGCTAATTGAAAAAAAATGCATACTGACAAACAAAAGAACCTGATAATCAGAAAAAAATAATAGTTTTCTTTTTTTTTCATTTCCTGTTTCAGTACTAATAAATCGAAACCAAGGATTTTCGAATAACACCTTTAGTACAAATATCAAAAAAACTTCAACATTGTCATTTATATTCTACATCTGGAGACTATGCTTACTGCATTTATTCCACCAGAGACAAAGTAAAATAAAATTCACAACACTAACTCGATACTATTGAAAACGAATTATCTCTCGTATTCGATTTACTCGTATTAAATTACAAGATGTCATCTACACCTACATTGAATAAAATGCAGTATTTTGTGTAATAAAATATAAACTAACTTGCTACATTGTTGATATCTTGATATTGTTTTAAAACAAGCTCCTTTTGTTTTTCAGCTAAAGATTGAACGCACCAAGCTTTCAATAAAGAGCTTTCTATACAGTCGATGTTTTTAAGATTCTTTTGTGCATTCCCAATCTTTAAAAGTTCCGACGACAAATCTATATCACAGTATTTTCTCATCTATAAAAAAAACATATATCAATAAAAAAAAAATCCTCTCTTTATAGCATTCTTCAACTTGGCTTGTGTTATTAAAAAAAATCCATGCAACAGAAACTAATCATTATTCCAGGATAAAAGTGACTAGAATTATGCGCTATTGCAGACTTTATTCTATTTTTTTGCCAAATTTTATCTAGATTCCTTTAGCCATTGAGTTACAGAGTAACAAACATCTATATGTTTATTTAATCTATGCATTTATAATATTAGTAAAAGTATCAAAATAAGCTTACCAAGTAGTTGATGTCAGGTATTTTTTCATCGCTCTGTATTAACCATTCAACGAGTGACAAATCTGTACAATTCTTAGTTAAATCTACACCTAAACTACGTTTTAAATGCACGTAAGCCGTTATCAACGACAATACGTTTACTTGAAGTGAGTCTTTACTTAGCCATTGTGATATTCTTTTCTTAATATCGTTTGACTTTAACGTCACCGAAGTTAAATCAAAGTAAATACATAGATCGTTACTTAAACATACCGCTATTCCTTTTATACCTTCAACATTATTCAAAACTTTCCCTTTCTGAGTCTCGTCAGCGTTAATAATACTACTTCCAATTACTTCTGTTGCTGAAGCTGATTCATTTATATCTAGATATACAGAAGCATTACACCAAGTTTTTATTTTATTAGAATATTCTTTCAAGTCTATTTCTCTCAAAATATAACAATGAATAATTTTCTTTCTTATTTCAATGCTTAATTTTTGTGATCTTTTACATTTTAAAGTAATTAAATAATTGATATCAGTGTCCCTTTTAACTCTCTTTGCCTGCTGTGGCTCATTTAATCCGGGACTTTGTCTTTTAAGTGGACTTTTGTAATTCCAGATTTCAACTGCATCCTGGGAGTCAATAATTTCGACAACCTGAGAGATATTTAGATTTTCCAGTTTATGTTCCTTTTTATCTTCTTCGTACATTAATTTAATATCTTCATCGTCTTCAGTGACTGCGATAGAAGATGTAAATGCGTTTAATATCGACTGGCGATCTATCGTAATATTATTCAAGCTTGTATTTTTATTAATATCATCGCTATTGCTGAAGTTAGACGGTAAAAGATCGATTGGCAATGTCTCATCAAAGAAACTGGATTCGCTTTCATCAGATGAAAATAAGCTAACATCTTTAGAAGTTATATCTTTACCAGTAACATCATTTAATGGTTTGTTATCATTAGCGTTTTCTCCAGCAACAATCAGTTCATTGTCTCCGAAACTAATTTCTGGTGACATTGTTTTATCCGATGCTCGTAATTTTGATATATTATTTAACGCAGTGGAAAAATCCAGAGATTCCCATACTATATCATCTTTGAATCTCGACGGATTATCAGAATCAGACAAATTGATATTTCTCACTATAGGACTATCTATAATTTCAATGCAGTCTTGGTCAGTCTTTTCTATCTTAAATGATTTCTTTACTTGCGTGGAATTACATTTACCATCTTCGGTATTTTTCACGTTATCTTTATCTACTTCTTCATTTGGTAACAAGGATCCATTATTCAGTTGTTTCTCCTTTTTAATTTTTTCCTCATAACTTCTTTTATCAGTTACAATACTAGTTATTGTTTGAAGACTAGATTGTTCTTTTGTTATTGAAATTTCAAAAGTTACGTGGCCATTTGTTCCATTAATTTTGTTGCAATTTTCTTGCGAATTCAAGAAATTGTTACAATTGGGATTTGAATCTTTATCATTGCAAGTTGTTTTCTGTATTTCGTTCCATTTTATTTCCGTAACTCCAATCTCTTCTTGTAAATATTTTCTCGCTTCAAGGATCAAATTTAAAGCCGCCTCTTTAGCGGTCATACCGCAACAGCCGGTGATCCAAATGTTTTTAATTTTATTGCGTTTCTGTAAATCACTTTGATCATCGCCATCTCTTTCTTTTTCGCTTTGGAAAGGGACAGCTTTTAGCAGTATATTTTCTATCGTATTTACATCTGCTGAGGCTACGCTTGATATTGTTTCGAAACCTTTATCAAACAGTGCCCTTGCTCTTATCCCATTTAATGATGTCAACTTCATTAATTCAATTAATTCTGAATGTATACCAAAATGAAGACGATCTTGGAATTGAGATATTAACAATTCCATATTCTTCCATCCCAATTGATGACAAAACGCTGTTACCATTCCTAAAATAAAAATGTTAGCTAGACATGCGAAAAATAGTTTAAAAAACTCAAAACTACACGCTTACCAGCAAATGTAGCAGCAGCTTGTTGTAATCCTTGTAAGAAACCTCTGGGACATTGAAATTTCTCTGCTACTTGTGATAGTGGTACTTCATTTACTAAATCTTGCAACGCTAATGCAGTATAAAACCTACAAAAGAAGATAAATTAAACATATCGTTAAAAACAAATTAACACTGAAGAGAAATAGTATTTTTTACTAACAGAATGTGACAAAATACCTTTTATGTATATTTAATTTCTTTTGGTCAACTTTAGCATGATTACTCCCTCTCAAACGCTGTATTATAAAACTCTCTTGAATACCAATCAGTTCACCAACTTTTTTCATTGCTCTGGTTAATGATTCCCATAATGTTAACAAATGCAACCAATCAATATCATTCCATTGACTGCTAACACTGTAAGGTGTCACTAAATAAATGAGATGTAAATCATTCTCTAGTACAATACATTGTCGAGCCTTCTGTAGTTCACAGAATAATGACAATCCATCATTTGGAGCCATTGAGGATGATAAACAAGCTTTACCTAAAGATGTCGCTACATATTGAAACTCAGTACCATCATCCTGTACTCTTATCAATTCATAATTTTTTAATTGTTCTAAAGTTTTCCCTAATAACAACATCTGCGATTGTGTCTTCTTCTCTTGGTTAAATAACAATGAACATTTTGTATACAGATTCAATTCAGACTCTGTACAAGTTACTTGACTTGCGATTATTTCAAGAACAGCCCTCATGTACCTGTCCTCACTTTCAATGCAACTTTTAACAGGACTCAAAACACCTACCATTAATTCTTGGCCTATTTTTTTCTCAGCCTCAGTACATATAAGTATACTTTCTCCTTTTACATCTCTGCCCATCCTACCTGCTCTACCAATCATCTGTTTATAAGTTAAAATATTTAATGGTTGTCTTTGAAATACAGGTGTTCTTATAATAACTTTTCTTGCTGGTAAATTAACACCAGAGCTGAGTGTAGATGTCGCCACTAAAACTCTTATAGCACCAGATTTGAATGCACCTTCGATAATATCTCTTTCATCAAAAGTAAGGCCTGCATGATGATAAGCAACACCAAAAGATACAATATTTTTTAGTATATTATCCAAACCAACAGGACAGTTTTTAAGTTGTTCCAAAACTTCAGCTATCCTTTCTGTATTTAACTGATTTCTTAAAACTGTACCTATTTCATTATTTGTACATCCCAAGTTGAAAAATGTGGCAGCAATACTTTGTGCTAGACTTTCACACCTATTTTTAGTCATGCAAAATATTAACACTGAACAACCTTCCTTTATAGTCTCTAAACAAATATTTAAAACACTTCCATTTTCATTTTCCAACCCTGTATTATCATCTATTGATCTCAAGTATGTTCCTTTTTTATCATAAATTTTTTTCCCCACTAAACAATATTCTTCTAGGGGGATAGGTCTAAAATCTGTAATAAATAATTCTGCATCCAACCAAGCAGCCAAAACCTCTAAATTAGGTAATGTAGCCGACATTCCTACTATTTGAATATTGATATCTGCTTTCAAAGATATGTATTTAATTTTAGTCAACAGGAGCTCTAAAATGTATCCACGGTTTGAATCACCCAGCAAATGTAACTCATCAACCACAACTGCTCCTAATTCAGAAATGTTACCATCATCAATAAGGCGGTTGACTAAACTATTTGCTTTTTCTATAGTACATATAGCAACATGCACAGCTTGTAAGCCACCAGGTGGTGATTGTGATCCCATAAATCCTTCAACTCTTACCCCAGAACTGGAAAGTATGTCTTGCAGATAAAACATCTTCTCTCTCACAATAGATACAAAAGGTAAAATAATTAATACCTTTTTTTGACGCTCTAATATTGTTTTTATTGTAAGTATTTCTGCTACTAAAGTTTTTCCCGCAGACGTAGGCGCAGAATAAACTAAATTACGATGTTCTAATAGCACATTTGATAGGCTAAGGCAGGATACCTGCCATTCAAACATTTCTTTGATACCTTTAGCTTCATATTTTCTTGTAATTTCAGGTGGTAAGCCCCAATTCTTTAACTTTCTTACATTCGCATTGTTCTCAGATTTTAAAACATCCTTAGTACATAGACTTAGCTCTAAGTTGGAGACAGCATTTTTCACTGTTTTTTTCTTTACATTCTTACTGATTCGTTCAGCTACTGGGACAGTATTTGTAACGTAGTCTTTCACAGTTACTAAAGAATTGTGTATTGAAAAAGAATTGTCGAAACAAGATTCCAAAAATGAAACATTCTCTACCAATATTTGAGAATCGATCACATCATTATTTGCCATTTATATAAATTTAGTAACTTGTACATTAAACTAAATGGACATGTGATTAAAATATAAACGATACCAACACAGTATTATTGAATAGATGATTTTTAGATTTGTTTATTTACAATTTATGATTAAAAATTCATCAATCACATTTTAAAAATGACATTTACGTTGACTTGATCATCATAGAGTATTCCGTAGACGTCAATGTCATTTTTGTTTCAAAGTAAAACCAAGGAACAATCTAATTGTTCTTTGGTTCTACAAAAAAGAAAAATATTTTTGTATACCTCAAAAACGCATTTACTAATTAACTTGTATCTCTCCTTAAGTTTCTTTGTTATAAGCAGCTAAAAAGCCTTCATATAAGGGTAAAAGAAACATTCAATTATAAATATCATTTATATTAAAATAAATAATATCACAAATTATTGCTTACGATGCAATGTAATATCACAAGTGGATTTTATTTACAGAAAAATATTTAATTTTATTCACAAAACCCAACTATTAAATACACAATGCAACAAATTAAAGAAATATCGTGATTTTCATGCTTTTAACCTTTAAGTTATATTTTAGACTACATTTAAAAGGTGTAACTTTTTTACTTTAGCATATCAGTATTATTTTTTTTATTTCGAATTTTTTTATAGATACGCTTTTCCAAAAATATGGAAAATCATAAATCAATTTTAGTAGCAGTGGGTTCTTTTCCTTCTGTGAGGGCTCGCGATTCGTGGATGAAAACCGCGTATGTAACACCCTGAAATTAAAAAAGAGAAACATTTAATACTAAAAATATGTATGGTTTTACAAATTACAAAACAAATAAATAAAGACGGCATATTAATAAAAATAAAATGCCAATAATTGATACCTTCCACTTCAAATTCGGATACAAAAAATCCACATAAACAAAATCATACATACTAGATATATTCCTATAACGCTTCTTTCAGGGTTAAAATACATACCTGTTGCAAAGCAGCTCTAACAAAACCTTCATTTGCTGATACAGTCAAAGCTTTAATTCTGTGGCCGAAATTAAATATGACTTTAGATCGCAATCTCACATGGCCTCTAATCTTCAAATTCTGTCTTGGATAATCATCTGCACCTATAAATATAATTATTTTCAAAATAAACTTCATTGCCCCCAAATAAACTTAATTGTCCCCATCATTTCGTCGCATAACATGTCCATAACACGCTAAAGTTTTACTTCTCAATTTCTCCACCACTGGAGACTTAACTTTCTTCAACAACTTCTTAACTTTATCCATTCTTGTCACACCACACATCCATCTTAACATACGCATCTCAGCCACATGCAATCTCCTTTCATCCGCTTTGGTGGCCCAACATTCAGATCCATACAATAGACTTTTTTGTGCGAGTTAAATAACAAGCTAGATAAGCAGCCTTCAAAACTTCAATATCTATGCCAACTTTATTTGAGAGACAATTTTTTTTAAAGTTTATTTATATAAAACTTTTCCTGTTAATAATAAACACAAAAAAAAAGCAAAAATGATACAACCATTCAAGTTTGTTGCAGCGATCAAGTTAAAAAGGTTTTTTTATGTAAAAAAGTATTAAAACATTTCTCACCACCACTGTCATCTGGGTAAACTTTGATCATTTCTTTCAACAATGCAGTCCTTTGCTTTTCTAAAGGTCCTCCCAAAATGTCGATAATTTTATTAAAATCATCCCATGCAGTTTTGCAGCACACTAAATTCTTTCCTAAAAATAGTAACAGCATTTAACTTTTTTTAATTTTTTTATAACCTATTCTGACAATACTATCAAAATAGGTAAAAACATTGAACAGTCTTAAAAATCTTAATCTCTGTAACGCTTACCTACTCATTGGTATGATTTATAAATATTGCACTAAAAAAACAAACATGAAAATAAAAAAATAGTATTTTTTGTGTATGTCAATTTAAATGTTTTTATTACCTTGAAACAATCTGTCCAGCACCGGCTTAACAGGTCTTTCCGCTTCCCAAGCAGCTTGCTGTGTTAGCACTTCCTGTTTGAATACGTAATTACAATGTCCATTTGTCATATTACTAACATACGCCATCATAGCACTAACATCCAGATTTAATGTTTTAATTTCTAGTTGACTTTCTTTACATTGGGGAACTTCTTGGACGGAATTTTGTTCACTGTAAATTATAAAATAACAGATATTAAAAACAAGACTAGATGTTTGCATGCAACTTAATCCTCATAATATACTATCCTCATAATGTATTTAAATTATTTTTTATAAGTCGTAAAACTTTAAATTCAAATACTCTAATGTCTGTTATGGGCTGAGAATTTAAGTAACCATAGCAATCTTCATTACTTGGTGATATTGTTAGTTTTTGTCTCTTTCTTACAAAGCATTTTTTCCATTTGACCCATCCCCTAAGTTTGATACTGTGAAAATAAATTGACAAAAGAGTGTCTAGGAGATTTTGTAAAAAAAGGAATATTCCATAATAAGCTGTAACAAAAACATGCACCTCACCATGTGCAAATGTAATATTTCATAAGTATTTAAATTTAAGCAAGTTATTTTAAGTAGGGTTGTAATGGAACTCTGCGTATGCATAACTATAATTGTTATACATTATATTTGCATAATAAATTGTATCTTGTAATTATGTACCAATCTGTATTTTGGTTTAACATAGTTTTAGTTTTTATTTCTGTAATAAATCGCAATTATTATTTTACTATTGACCTCCGCATCCGCTTCCGCTAAAATGGCCTCCATTACAACCTTAATTTTAAGTATACATAGTAATATTAAGACTTACTTAAAGTCAAGTTCTTCATCAGACTCCCATGAGTTATCACATTCATCATCATGTTTAGTATCAGGTAGAACTTCACCCTTCACTATAACTCCAAGAGATTTTAATTTGTTTGCCAATGATTCTTCTATTCCACTGACAAACTCAAATACAACCTGACAAAAATTATGTATGTAAAAAACTTATAATAGTATTATTTTTGTCCATTTTTAAAGAAAAAATAACAATTAAGAACAATCTATATATATAAAATATAATTGGAATATATACATATAACATCGGGAAAGAAATTACATTTCTTGAACATGGTGTATGATTTGGAGACAGCAAAAACCCAACACTTAAACAAAAATTATCTGTCAGCAAATCTGCATAATCTTTGAAATAAATAGACTGATTTTAACAAGGCTTTCAATAGAAGGTTATTTAGGCTTATGGAATATTACTTTTTATTGAAATTCTGTGTAATAGATATACTTAACAAGGATAATTTTACACACTTAAATAACTGTACTAACCTTTGGTGGTTGATACATACATGGATAGAGCTTAGCACATTCCACATAATCTTGTGCCTGGTCTACAATTGACCTTGCACCATATGATGCATTACCAGAACTGAGTGCTGACAGTGATTTTGGATTCCGAGCTATCACTACAGAAAGGAAGAGATTTTAAATTCTATAATCTTTTCTGAAGAGTTGGTAATTAAAGAAACACATTTCTTAATAAATAACTAATATACAGTCTTGTAGGATAAGAATGTGAAACCTCAATGTGTTGAAAATCACTGATAAATTACAGATTTAAATAATAAATGAATTACTTAAATGTTATGTCTAATTGTATGTGAGATTAACACTTTTTAACATACTGTGTTTACCTTTTTTAAATCTTTATAACGAGAAGGGGGGGTTTGTATCATTAGTAAAATTTTAAATCCCAAAGTGCTCTTAGATATTAGGAAATGAGCTGGCAAAATTGTCCAGCTGCATTGATAGTAGGCTCAGCCAGTATTAATATTACTTTCAATTCTATAATAAGCAATACAATATACCTTTGTTCCATATTTTTCCATTATCACTAACAACATCAACTAACAATTTATTGTCGTCATTAATATGAAATATTTTACACACAGCGACAGCACCCGGTCTGGTTGCACAATCAACCAAAGCACTTAAATGTCTGAGATTCGAACATGCCAGTTGTTCTATTTTGATCTTATCTGATTTCTGTAACTGAAACAAAAATAAATACTTTGAGAATAGAATTGAGTTTTTTTTACAAAGTAGGCACTTTGAATTGGTATAAATAAGTGACTACTGCCGATAGATATTTATGAATTGAATGGTTGCGTACTATATAAGATAAGAAATTAAAAATCAAAAATAATTACTCTTTGTAAAAAATGTATCTCTTGTCGTATTTTCCTTTGCAGTTTCAGATTGCCGTCTAATTCTTCTATAGGATTAATTCGTGTAATAAGTTCTAATCCGAATTTTATTTTTTCATCCAACATTTTCCTTAACTCTTCAGCTGTATGTGCCATGTTATTTTTCATAACTTTCTTTTCTTATTAATTTGTTAACATAAAATGTCTTGCTTAGAACTTTTTATGAAAATTGTGCAATAAAAATTTAAATTGTGAAAGTTTAGGTATTGTAGATTAATTTAGTAGGATTAAACTTTGCGTTTTAGTGGAATAAAAGATTGGTTTTATCTACTTTGCAATTGTTTCGTTAATTTTCCTTTTTATTTATTATTCAAATTGGATTAAACATTTGACATTGAGCTCTTTGATGTTGACTTCCGAGTTGATTACGAAAATGTCAAAACTGTTCAAAAACTCACAAATGAATAGGACAAAAGTTGCGCTTTAAGAAATAAAACATATTTAAATATTACCACTTTAAAATTAATTTCGTTTCTTGAATATTGAAAAGTTACTTCTTAAATTCGGTGAGAATGAAATAATAAAATAACTATGATGAAATTAAGTGTAAGTTATTTAAAATAACTGCGTTTCGAACGTATTCAAAGTTCTTGACTTTTGAAATGACGTCATTGTCACGTGACCTACATCCAACAAATCGGCCAACCAGAAACAAGCACCCGACTAACCAAACTCCAGTTTAGAGAAATGGCTGACGACAAAGAAGTCGAAAAAACTATTGCAGAAGACTTGGTTGTTACCAAGTACAAATTAGCGGGTCAAATTGTTAACCGTAAGTACCACGATAGTTCTTTAATTTACAAAAAGTAACCGATTCATCAGTAAATGATTTTTCTCTACACTTGTCTCATGGACGCGTGTCATCGCCATGCGGACAACGTGCTGTCCCTAAAAGCCAATTTCTAAAACTCTTGAAACTTTTCTTGATCGATTCATGCAAAAATGGTAATCATTTTTGAAATTGTTTGTTTCAGGCGTTTTAGAGCAAGTTATCGCAAAATGTGTGCCTGAAGCGTCTGCCAGAGAAATTTGTGAATTTGGCGACAAATTAATATTAGAAGAGACATCTAAGGTATTCAAAAAAGAGAAAGATTCTAAGAAGGGCATTGCATTCTCGACATGTGTGTCTGTAAACAATTGTATATGTCACTTTTCACCGATACCAAGTGAAACTGATTACTTTCTAAAACAAGGGGATCTTGCGAAGATGTAAGTATAAATCACTCATCGTTCTATAAAAAGAATTCAATTTGATACCAAGTAGTTTTAGGACATTAACTACTTCCTGTGTTCCTAGGATTTACAGCGTACTATTTTATATTTTCAATTATAATATCCAGCATATTAGACAATAATATCAGATATTAGATTTATTAATAAACTATTAAAAAAATATGTAGCCAAGCTCACAATCTGAGATTGCACTACTAAGGACAGTTTTAATTGTGTTAGTATTTGAAACTAGTTATATTTCTTTATTCAGAGATCTTGGTGCTCATATAGATGGCTTTATTGCGGTGGTTGCCCACACCGTGGTGGTTGGTGGTGGGGAGGTCACGGGCCGTGCGGCAGATGTCCTTCTTGCTGCATACCTTGCGAGTGAAGCCGCCTTAAGATTGTTGCGACCAGGCAATGAGGTATTCCATATATTTTAAATTGCTGATTCTACCGATAATAAATGAAATAATGGTCTTAATAAACAAATAATGATTTTTATATGTAATGATAACTTATATTTTATTACTGGAAGTTTCTATCTTAAATTGTAAAGGTATTAGTTCCCTTCCTTACAATGATTAGATATAAAATGGCTTTAGAATTGTTTGATAACATCCTGAATCTTTCCATGATAACTAAAATAGTTAATTTTGGTACAAGCTCAGGAGAAATTAATGTAAATTATTTGTATGTCAGAATAATTAAATTATATTTTGATAAAAATAACTTTACAATAATCATAAAAATTTCTTTACAAATCCTAAAAAAGATGAATTCTATGATTTAATACATGAAACTATTTGTATTATTTTTAGAACCAAGCAATAACAGATGTAGTACAAAAGATTAGTGCAGAATATGGATGTAAGCCGGTTGAAGGGATGCTTTCGCATCAATTAAAGCAATTCCGCATTGATGGTGAAAAGAGTATAATACAGAATCCTTCGGAAGCTCAGCGTAAAGAGCATGAGAAAGCTACGTTGGAAACATATGAAGTTTATGGTATGGATGTGCTTGTTTCTACAGGAGAGGGTGTTGTAAGTTAATTGATTTTATGTTCTTTACCTGCAAAAAAAACTTGTATTTTTTGTCACAAATATTGGACTGACTTATTCCTAATAACAAAAAATATAGAAAATACTGGTTATCTGTAAGTTTATTTAAGGACAATAATTAAAGATAACCTTACAAGCCAATGGTAGTCTAATTGTGCCCTCTCTACCGCTTGGTCTGTGCTTTAGCTTTCAATCTCAGCTACAACCAAATATGCCAAACACTACTGTTTCTTGTTGCAACAGATGTTCATTGACAAAGAAATATTTATTATGTGTAATTTAAAAGTAGAAGTTTTCCATTAGTAGGCCCTGACTTCTTTCCAGGTTTAGTTCACAATAACACATCTGGCAGTACTCAGGGAATATTAAATGTAGTATTAACTCTTCTGAAATGTTTTCCTATGTTTCAGCTTTTAAAATACTTCAACATTCATTTGTATATGTTTATCAATGTTCAATGTTTAATTATAATTGATTTTAATAGATCTATTTCTTACAGGGTCGTGAAATGGATACAAGATGTACAATATATAAGAAAACTGATGAAATATATCAACTTAAATTGAAAGCGTCAAGAATGTTCTATAGTGAGGTAAAAATAATTGCCATGTTTCACAAATAAAATTTCTACATGTTTAAAGATATTGTTCCTGCATATTTAGTCAATTGCATATTTTTAACTTGTTATTTTCTCCCTGAATGTTTTTTTTAGTAATACACATATTGTATTACTATTTACATTCCGGGTATATAAGTGTAATGTGTTTGAGCCATTGTAGAATTCTTTACATGGTGCAGTGGCATAAGTCATTACTACAATAATTTTAGTTTAGTTACTAAACAAATAAGTTTTAACCAAAAAAAAATTAGCAATTTTTGTTTAAATAATTATTAAAGTGTTAAATTATGAATTGAAAAGACTTTTTCCGTTACAGGTTCGTAACAAGCATGGCTCAATGCCGTTCAACTTACGCAGCTTTGATAAGGAGACGAGCGCCCGCCTCGGTGTGGTTGAGTGTGTCAACCACAAGCTTATTGAACCATTCCAGGTAACTTGATAATCAAAACAATTAAGAATTACTTTAGTCCATGCATAATTAAAATAAAACTTGAATACCCTAGAACAAGATTGTAGACTATTCTTCATCTATGTCAAATTTTTGACCGACTTCCCAAAAGATGGAGGTACTCAATTTGTCTGTATGTTTTTTTTTATGTGTGTTATATAAGATAAATTAAACTGTTTGGAGATAGTGATAACCATCCATCCATCTATCCCAACTTTCACTTATATAGTTAAAAGTAAGATTTAGGTAAAGTTTCCACTATAGTATAGAGACTTTAAGGATTCTTTTTATTCTGCATCAACAATAGTTTTAAATGTGAAAATTAATTGTAAATTTTATATAACAGGTGTTATATGAACGACCAGGAGAGTTAGTAGCGCAGTTCAAGTTCACAGCGCTGTTGTTACCAAGTGGTACGCACAGAATTACAGGATTGTCTTTCGACAAGAGCCAGTGTAAGACTGACCGCACCATCAAGGATCAAGAGCTTAATGTAAATATATTTACTGATATCAATTACATGTAAAAATGTTGTTTAGTATATTTTTGGGGTTATTTATGAGATTTCTGATCTTTTTAAGATGTATTACACCCTGATATCTTTCAAAATAGATTCCTATGTAATTCATTTTGAACAAGCACAGGGTAGAAAAATGTAATTTTTTTGAGCTGATTTGTTTTTGTTAACACTTCAGTTTGAAGAATTACAACATTTATAATACTAAATTAACTTTAATTGTTACTGTCATCTTTATTACTCATTTAATCAGATTCTCTTACTACTAAAATGGTATAAATTTGCCTGGGACATGTGTAAGGACTTCTTGGAGAGATCTGAGGACTCTGCCTACCCATCTGGGCTATGGTGTGAGTTATATTATTGTTAATACAATGTTTTTGTCCACCAGTCCCTTCTGAACTCCTCTGCGAAATCCAACAAGAAGAAGAAAAAGAAAACCGGCACAGAAGAAGCCATGGAGGTTGAAACTGCGGCATAGCATATCTGATCACCCTCACAATGAGGACTAAATTGCTGAAACTTTATACCAACTCATTTTCCTGACATCATGCAAAACATTCAGTACAATAAAATTAACTTTGGAAATAAATTGATTATGTAAGAATATTTTATTTTCAACACCCACTCTCCTGTTATAGAAAAATCATTATAAATCTGTAGTCTTACATTTACACAAAGTTTTTCTTAAGGTCACAACAAAAGTATTTGTAAAATTTGAATTAATAAAATAATATTTTTACAAACTATGATCTAATATTTTTTCTTTTACAATCCATGCTTATTTTACCCCTTCATGATAAACACAATGTTAATAAAAATGTGTACATGTTACATGTAGTAATAATGGGACAAGCACATTTGTCTTGGGTGCATTATTTAAAAGTATATATGTTGCTTGATATTCCACAAATTTCTGAATATGGTGTGAAGTATTCATATGAATGTGATAATATTAGCTTTTTTATTAGAATTATTATATTACATTAATAAGACTGAAGAAAGTATGGATGGATTATGTGAAAGAGGATATGCTTAAGAAAAAAGATGGATTCAGATATGACTGCTGTTAGAGATGTATGGAAGAGCAGCACATACTGTGCCGACCCTCCGTAAGGGATCAGGGCAAGTGGTTGATGATGGCTATATTACATAGTGATAATAACACTACAATATAAAGAAGGTTCACTTTTTACTTGTTTATTATGTTGTAAGATATTAAGTCACAACTTGGACAGCAACTTAACATCAATAGCTTGTAAGACTAACAAGTTTAAATAACAATCTAGTTCACAAAATCACATTTTATCCTATATTAAACTATTTTGTTCCCTCTTGGCTTCTTTCAGGTTCAGACGAGTTTGTTGACGAAGATATTTTATCATATGCAGATGTTAATGCATTTGTGGTATGAGTAGGCAGGTTAATTAGGAATTGAAATGTTGATTTCACACCACAGTTCCAGTAGTATTTGAATAAATATGACACTCTATCATTTGATGGGAGTGGAGGCAGCTGTAAGCAAACATAGTTTATGAATCCATTAAATCAGTTTAAACAGATTTTTAAAACGTCGTAATGAAATATGAAAAATACATTTTCTTAAAGGCAAAAACAAGCAATAACCGACACTGTTAATTACCTCAAATGGTATTTGTTTTTTTAATTCACCAACATAGGGGGACACTCCTTTCTCTAATTCATCATAAATTTCTCGAGTCGATTCACTATCCTTCCAAACACCTTTATCAACAGTATAGTACACTGCTGAACCTAAAACAGCCGATTTAATACCAAACCTGTAAATAGAAAGTTCAACTTTACAAATGTTGACTTGCTTAGCATGTATAAAAAAAGCTAAGATTTTACATTTACTTTATCATTTTCTTGGCTTACGAGAACATTAACCTAGAATGTAATTGTTAAAATGTTTGAATTACGTAATTTGACATAATTTCATCTGTCAACTGTCAATGTCATGGCCAATTTATTTTTAATTTTATCGCATTTCCACAATGCTCCTTTCACCAGTTCAGCCACAAATTATAATGCAGAATGTAAATTATAGAACTATTTACCCATTTTAATGCTAATCTATCTCAATATGTGTGTTTAATTTTATTAGAGTTAAACTGAAATAAAATTGAAAAGTTTGTAAGCATTTATTTACTCCTATTGTCTACGATTTGTTTTTAAATTAATAGCATTATTGTCTTTGGTATATGTCAAACTGTTAATGTCATTGTGATAGATATTGTTGTTATATTAATATTAAATTTGTAACTATTAAATGAATGAATTATTGCAAAAGTACGCAAACGATTTAATGCACAACAATCATGAATAATATAGGAAAAATAGAGCAATTAATTGATTTGTGTCTTGTACCAAAACTTAGCAAGAACTATGATGAATGCCAAAACCATCCTGAATTTGGAATTCGTAATAAAAACTTGGATAAAAACTTTAGTTTTCTCCTAAAACAACTCGAGGAAGTTAATTTCAAGACCTGTAATAAACCCGAATCGGTGATATCGCAACTATTGATTTTGTATTTTGAGTTATCAGTTAATACCACATGGAACGATGCAAATTGTTTGAAATGCTCCGAAAAATTGAATTACTATTTTCAAACATTCTACGAACTCAGTCTTATTAATGTATTATCCGAAAAGACTGATTTCGACCATCAAGAAATATTCGACAAATGTTTGGAAAACCTGCATAAGAAGCTGTCTCCAGCTGAATTCAAAAAATATCCAGCGCAAATTGCTGTATATCTTACACTTATTAAAGATCTAAAAGTAAGTCAGTAACAATATTTATGACAACTAATATATTATTATCCTCAATATATTTTTCTGTTCTTTATTTTCAGAGATATAATGTGACTGTAGGACCTTCAAGAATACTTCCAGCAGCTTTGAACTTGATAGATGATTATATAATAGAGAATAAGCTCAATGGATTAAAGTCTTGCCTTTCCATATTGCAGTGCATGGTGAGAAAATCTTTGTTAAACCTTAGTATTGATTTTCTACATGACAAAGATAATAAAATAAATCTATTGTAGAATGGACATTAAAATTTTTTTTGCAAACACATTATAACTTGATACAAAATAGTTTGGTTTATGTTTTTATCAAGTAATGACTTTTTAATAAATATTGTATGTATTTATGAACAGAATAAGGATGCATTTGACAAGGGGAATTATTTTGAAGTTGTATATTTGAGTCTCAAGAAACTTACAACAGAAAAAGATATTGAAGCAACAAAATTGCTGTTTGAGTGTTTAATAACTATGTACCATATTCTACCAGCTAATAGTAAGGTATGTTTTATTAAAAAATATTTTTATTTACACTTAGAGTAATAACCATCTAATATTTTCATCAAAAAGATATATTACTAAGTAAGAAAAATAATAATCATTATTTTGGTAATATAAAGGTGCAATTTGTTAAACTAATATTTGATTTTTCAGAAAGTAAAACTAGATGAAATGTATAATGCAGTACTGGACCAACTTATTGTTGAATCTAATTTATACAGAAAAGCGGAATGTCTAAAGTTTATAAGGACTATAATATCTATTCATAAAATACACTGTTGCAATAGAATTATATTTTTTGCAATAATTTCTGATAACTTAGACTTGTGCTGCAATGAAGCTGTGAGTGAAGTGCTATTGGAAATTGTACTACAGGTGTGTATTAACATCTTCCGTCTATCTATATCTATATCTATCTTACTTCTTACTAATATTATAAATGCAAAAGTTTAGATGGATGGATGTTTGTTAGCGTTTGTAGCCTAAACGGCTGAATGGATCTCCATGAAATTTGGCACAGATATAGAGCATAGTCTGGAGGAACACATAGGCTTCTTTTTACCCCGGGAATAGTTACGGTTCCCATGGGATTCATTAATTTAGTTTTTTAATGTTTACTCGATCATTCTGCAACGGTTCAACATATCTTATTGAAATTTGGCACAGATACAAAACAAAGTCTGGAGTACACATGGGATAAGGTTCATCCCCGAGAAATGTCTGGTTTCCGAGGGATACATAGCATTTTGTTATTTAAATAGTTCGCATGTTTTCTAATACCACGCGGATGAAGTCGCGGGCAACAGCTAGTAATATTATAAATGTGAAAGTTTAGATGAATGGATGGATGTTTGTTAGACTTTGTAGCCTAGACTGCTGATCAGTTCTCAATGAAATTTGGCATAGATGTAGAGGATAGTCTGGAAGAACACATAGGCTACTTGGTTTTGTTTTATTTTTATTATCATGCGGACGGAGTCGCGGACGAAGGCTAGTAATAATTTATTAACACATGAACTCGCAAATAAAATACACATGTTTCCAATTTTCTACTGTAAATTTCTTTTCTTGGAAAATTACAAAAAAGAGTGTTTGTCGAGTGTGTTTTTGTTTATTGTTTTAAAATAATTTCTACAAACATTTTTTCTTAAAAGTCTATAAACAAAAAATGTAATAAACTAGAATTTTACCTTAATTAATCCATTTGTCTTAATTTTTCCTTGTTTCAGACTTTAAAAGAATGGATCAAGTATTGCTGGTGTGTATGGAAATTTTCTACAGGACATAAAATTATTTCCAATCTTTTTAAAGTTCTATATTGTTGTAAAGATGAACACTTAATATCTGAGGTGCATAAAATAATCGTAACTTTAATAAAACTGTGTGATGATGCAGAGAAAAAAAGTATTATTAGTAATCTAGAAAATATTGATTGTACAATCGGTAAGAATTTTATAGACAGGATAAATGCAATAAAATCTGATGTAACATAAAATGTTTTTTTATTTCATAAATGTGTAACAAAATATAATTTGTGAGTATTTAAAGCTTAGAGCTATCACAATAACACTTCTATATAATAAGGAATTCATTTATAGAATTGTGATCTTAGAATGATAACATTTTTAAAACCAGTTTGATTGTTTTGCTAATAAAATAGTGAGATATTAGATTTCAAACTCACCTATTCACGATATTTAAATATATTTATTTGCTCATATCAGACAATGTATCACAAATTTCCTCTATAGATGGTCTATTGAACCTTTCTTGTTGTAAACAACATCTAGAAAGTTCATATATCTCTTTAGCTTTTGTCCAATTTTCAACTTTTGAATCTAAAATACTAGTAATATCACCATTTTCTTTGATACTTTCTTTGACAAAATCTTTTATGTGTATTCTATCATTATTACTGTTAGTAACAATGGGAGTTAAACCAGTAAGCAGTTCTAAAAGTACAACTCCGTAACTGTAAATATCTATTTTCTGAGTAATGGTGCCATAAAATCCTTCAGGGGCCATGTAAGCGGAGGTGCCCATTGGGGATGTGGTGACAAATGTTAAATCATATTGTTTAACAAGTCCAAAGTCACAGATCTGAAAGAAAAACATTGTTTATTGTAAGAAATTCAGAACAAAAAGAAAAAAAGTAGTGGTCCATACATGTTCAGTGATTATTTAGATGGTTCGTTAAAAATCTCGATAAAATTAAGCACAAACATAGAACATAGCAAAGTATTTTGTTTTTAATTTTGCATGGACAGAGTCACTGGCAAAAGCTAATTTTTACATACATAAAGTTTGTGTTAACTTTTTTGTGATTATTTCACACTAATAGTTGTAGTTTGTGATTTACCTTAGGGACACAATCCTTTGTGAGGAGAATGTTAGCACTCTTCACATCACGGTGAACAAAATTATTTTTCTTTACAACATTTTGTGTATTGGAGTCACCTGCTGTACTGGTATTTGGAATTATATGTTCACTTGTGTGTAAATATTTTAAACCCTCAGCCGTACCCATCATTATATCAATTCGTTGTCTTTCTGTCAGTTTTTTAGTAGCCAACTGTTCCTCTAACGAACCTCCGTCAACATATTCACAAATGATACATGGAACAGGTCCATTCATAGAGAATCCCAGTATCGGAACAATGTTTTTATGCCTAAATTGAATCAAATTTTTAACTTCGGTGTTGAACATATCAATCACCATATTTGGTTTGTGTGTTGGCCACAGTAAGTGGGTATGAATTTTTTTAACAGCAAGAGGTATTCTGTATTGAGGATGATAGCCCAAGAAGACTTCACCGAACCCGCCACTGCCTATTTTTCCACTAGGACCATATGGACCATCTACTATTGTTTCAGAGAACTGTGATGTTATGTTTTCCAATTCTCTGTACTCAAAATTAATCAAATTATCATCTTCTAATATTTCCTTATCAATATGACTGTGTAAATCAGATATATTAGGTAATGATTGTTGAAAGGAAAAGTTTGTACTGTTCGGTTTAGTTTCCAGAGAGGTTCCTTTTTCACTTTCAGAATTTGTTTTAGTACCACTATGAGATGATTTGACACTAAGCTGTTGTGACTCGGGAAACATCAAGTCTAAATTAGGTATATTTCTTGATGATTGCGCGACTTGTGTAGAGTTACTGTTTATATTTACCGTTCGCAAAATATCTATAGCTGGAATATTATAACTGATATCTCCATTTTCAGTTTTCATCGGCACAGTGCTAATGTTGCATACATTTTTGTCTTTAGATGTGTCATTCTGAATTCTCTTGGTTGGATCAAAGGAATTGAATCTTTCATTCATCTGTTCATTTTCTAATATGATTGATACATCTGTTTCAATATCTGCTCCAGGACCATCACTCGGTCGAGGCGGTCGGTTCTCTGGAAATTAAGTTAATTATGAAACAAACTGCAAATTCATGGTAGATTTTTTTATTATGTTGTTTTGAAAACAGATAGTCAATTAATATACTTCCATTGGTCTTATTAATCTATTTAACCTTATGTTTTTATTAAAGCAAATGGTGTTTTTTAATGAGTAATTTCACTTTACCATGAAGGAGACCGGCAATTTGATCTGCAGCTTTCAAGATATTTGCCTTCAGTACAATCTCTTTTAATGTGGACAATGTTGGTCTTATTTGTCCTGAAGTTCCCCACTCGTCGATCATTATTTCAGCACATTGCCTGTTACTTATTTTTGAATAATTTTCAATAAGTCTATAAAAAAATATGAAAGCTTATTTTAGATTATGAAATTAAGTATTTTTATTAATAATATACACAAAGATGTCTGTAATTATATTAATTTTATTTAAAACATTTGGTTCATACCATTTCAAACATAAATATTACACATACCTTATATCTTTCTCGGTATATTTTTTTTCAAAATCAGAGCTACCAAGATTCTTTGGTATAATTGACATAACATTTTTCCAATCACTATTGGTTTCTAAAGTGTTAATAACCTCATAGAGAGCGCCCGCTGGTAATTTACGCAGTTCCACATTCGCAAGCATTTTAAAAGCGATGTTTTCCTTATGTTTTGATCGTCACTCGCGACGTCAATATTGATAATATTATGGAGTTGGAGATAAAAATTGACTAAAACCTATGTGACAGTATTATTTTTTTTATAACAAAAACGATAACTCGAAATAAGAGATATAATAAAGATATATAAGTTAAAGTAAATCTTGAAAGTACAACACTTGCGCATACGCAACTATCTAAATGGACAATGATCAAATTCACATTGACAAATGACAACTGTCAACTTCTGACTGACGTATAGATTGACAAAGTTATCTGACCCGGTTGCACTGACCCTGACTTTTATAAATGGACAGGCTGCAAGACGTGTGACTATATGCCTGCTTGATACATACTTCATAATATTTCCACGATGGTACGGTATTCTTTAGTAAAAGAAAAGAAAGAGTGGTATTGGTAAGTATGGGAAACTGATATCCACACTTACCTACAAAATTAATCTTAAAATGAGGAGCTGGCGAACAGTGGGCGAAAAATGCGATTTTTATAGGCATTTTCAACTTATGTTTTGAAGGTTTATTTTTTGCTGTAATGTGCTTTGTATGATTTAATTTATGCATAATAAATAAAATACATTGAATTTCAAAGTAATTCAAGGTCTAAAATAATAAAAATGTTTTCTGCAAATTAGGTAAGTTTGATAAAAAATTACTACTGTATACCTATTAAAAAGATTTTAGTTATTTTTTCTGGGGTACAATGCTGTATATTATAAAGTACACTGGGAGTCATTGTTATACTGTGCATACTTCATGTATCTATATATGAATTATGAAGGTGTCTAAAATTATATAAATGCAGCACCATGCCAATATTTACTAATTAATTACTTTTTCTGGATTACCGTAGAAAGGGGGAAAATAAAGAGACAACTCAGTGTTAAGAAAACAAATGTGCATTTTATTAATAAATATGATAATACATGATTTTTCTTAAATTATAATTAAAACTCTATATTGTGCATGGCCAAGTGCGGAGGCAGATTGTTGAAGACATCCTGTATTTGTTGTAGTTTGTGTTGAGCGGTGATCCTGCGCCACAGCACGGGGCACTCTGTATTCTCGCAGTTCTGATGCTGAGAGTGGCCCGTGCAACTAGCACATATCTAGAATTTCAAATTGTATGCCACTGATAAAAAATTAAATTTGTGAAATTAATTTAAGAAAAAAAATAATGTCTAGTAATTTAAGGTGAAGGAAAACATCAAAACGAAATAATTGTGAAATTTATATTACGCACCATAGACTTTAAAAAATATGCAGATTGAGGCATAGCGAACAAATTTCTTTCACCGGTACTTTCGCTGAAAGGTACTATATCAGTTGTCAAGTTACAAAATAAATTAATCATCATTTAACGAAACCTATTGGTAATTAATTTAAATACAATTAATTATACTGAAATAAGGCTATTAACAAATAGCGTAAGCCATCGTGTTAAAAATATCATTAGTGAAATGTCAACTATGTCTCCTTTTTATATTTTCTGAATCAATTAACAAAGATTTTCTCAGTTTTTTTTTTATAAGAAATGGGGGAAAACAACCGTGTATTAAGGTGATTATATAGTTTGATTGTAACTCACATCGTAACAGTGGTGTAGAAGTCCGTGCGCGCGCGCTAGCCTGGCGGCGAGGGGCGGCAGGGCGCGTGGGGCGGCGCACGCGGCGCACAGCGAGCGCGCCCCCCGCGCGCCGCACGCCGCGCACCGCCCGCGGGACATGTACCGCGTTATACCGCCCGCGTGCGCCGCCCTCTCTAGCTGCACCTCCCGACCCTGACCTACTTCCTTCCACCTGGTAACAGTTAAGTTTTAAGAAAACACAATAGTACAAAAAAATCAACCTCATATGATAGAGAAAGCCTTTAGGTCAGAAGTAAATTGGGATAAATTCCATGTTTCAACTACGTGCGTACCGAAAGCCTCACTTTAGTCTTCTTTTTCCACAAGAAAAGGATGAAATAAGAAAGTTGGTGTAAAGGGAAACATCCCCTTTCTATGATCTCTGTCTATTAAAGGAATGCATCTGAAAATGCGGATGTCTACTAGCAGCGGTCGCTTCTTAATTTTGGCTGATTCCTTAGTAACTGGACTTGCATTCGACTGGTATAGTGTGAACAATAACTGGCGCCAGTGATTCCATATATGGCCTGCCCTACGATACTAACCAACTTTATTAGCAAAGTATGAACTTCGCATTTCACTAAAAAAACTGGTCCTTCGAGTCGGATTTTTGCAAAATACAAATGATTGAACACTGACCAGTTGAAGACGTGCACTCCTAGTAAGGAGAGACAGCGGTGCAGCGGAGGCAGCAGCACTCGTGTGGCGTAGTAGGCGACGTGCGGCGCTGCGGGCTGGCGCAGCAGCTCGTGCGGCGCGCGCGCCAGCCGGGACAGCGCGGTGCCGGGCGCGCCCGCGCACACCAGCCACGACACGCGCCAGCCCGCACGCGGCACGCTGCGCGGGTCGCGGCTCAGCAGACGCCTACAGTATTACACAACTTTTAGGACCTGTCCCACCACTGGCTGATAGAGGTTCAGATAGCGTAAAAATGACGTCACTGTCATATAAGAGAAGAAAGTCCGATACTTCCATCACATATTTTACACATTTGTTTGTTATCATTTTTTAAACTACGGCTTTACTAGCCGTAATAATAAATAAATAACGAATCTTAGGATGTTTTTAAAGTGCTATTTTATTTTCGAAGATCGGCGGTCAGTAGGACAACTTGTACTCTTGTGGGTGCTTTTCTAAAAAGCCAAGATATTTTTCTACCTACTTTTAGAGCATTAAATAATATTGTTAAAAATCTTAGCATTTTGCTGGATAAGTTGTATTTTTAAAAGTTGTAATGATCATACTTGGCGATTTCATTCGGCGGTACGGCGGCAGTGGACTTGTAGCCTGCGGGTCCGTGGTACTCTCGCGTGAAGAACAGTTGTTGCGGCGGCAGCGAGCCGTCGGCCAGCTGCGCCAGCACCGCGCATACTACGCGCTTCACACGCGACATGTCGCCTGACTCGAATAACTCGCACAAACACTGCTGGAGGAGCTGCAAGTTTACAAATAATCATACTAATATTATAAATGCGAAAGTTTAGATGGATGGATGTTTGTTTGTTAGAGTTTGTAGCCTAAACGACTGAACGGATTTTGATGAAATTTGGCTTAGACGTAGAGGATAGTCTGGTAGAACACATAGGCATTCAGTTTTGTTTTATTTTAATTCCACGCGGACGAAGTCACGGGCGAAAGCTAGTTTTTTATAATTCCCGTTTCATTTTTTTTTTAAATCGAACCTATTGGATAGAAAACTCTGGGGGTTACTTAATCTTTGCCAAATTAAAATTTTTAGGGTGAGTTGCATCAAATCGCTGGTTATCGTAAAAGTTATAATAGGGTTACAAGTGCAAAAACATATTCTCACAGAGGTTTTATGTGTTTTTCGTTTTTACAATGGAAACATTTAAACCTGAATGTCACTAAAGTGTCAAGTTGGTGTCAAGAATGACATTTACGTAAATTAAAATGTTTGGAAATTCATGTTTCGCCGATTATATTTATGTATCATACGCATGGTATTTTATAGTGAAATAAACTTTTTGCCCACGAAGATGGAGAAAATGGCAAACTCTTGTGAAAATAAACTAGTTTGGGCCATTATTGAAACTGTATTTACTTTACTACTCAAATATGTAGCAATAATGAAGCAATAAAATTATACAAATATAAATGCATCTTATTTATTTTCCATATTATAAATTGTCCTGTCAATGCATATTATAAATTGACCTTTTATGGAGGACATTTTTTTAAATAAGAGAAAAGGGACAAGCGCTGTTGCTCTGGCCTTAGACACTCGAAATTTGTCCAAACTGAATGTTTGGCCAAATTTCGAGTTCCATCTTGGAAATCCATTATTTCCGAGCACGCAAGACTTTATTCTTCTGGATTACGTATAAGATAATAGTAGAGATTTTCTTTTTCCATTACTTTTTCCATTATTTGTGCTTTTGAAGATAAGAGCTTGTGACAGTTGACACTACCGAACTGACACTAACCGTAACGCTAACTATAACCGCCCATAATCGGGCGGTTATGATTAGTGTCAAATATGACGTCATTTTGACCAGCGCAAAACTGGTGTAGCGAATATCATGAACATCCGAAGACGTAACCATCGGGAATGTGCTGGTTAAGGTTTATAGTTAGTTAATGTAACTCATCCTTAGTAAATTTTAAGGTTATTCCAAATATTACTGTTACAAATAATTTTAACTTTAACGGTAACCGGCGATATGGTGCAACTCACCCTTAGTCTATGACCGGACAACTGTGATATTTGATTTTTGTGTGTCACATTAAGAAAGGAAATAAACACGTATTATTACAAGAATATAACAGAACCTTACATTTCGTTCAAACTGTTAATTTGACAATCAAAAATAAAATAAATACTTGCAACTAATCGTAAAGCAATTATTTGCTTTAAAAAGCACAATATACCTTAACTCCAGCAGGACAGCCGTCTCTGCGCACTGTCTCTATGCCTTTAGCTTCGTACACTGGCTTCTCTTGTTCCGCGCTCTCGTACATGTAGCCCACGTAACGCTTCTTCGTTTGTAATATGCAGGGCTGATATACCTAGAAAAATCATTATAAATTATTTTGTTTGGGAATTTAAAATCTACGAGAAAAATTGCGTTACGAAATGTTGATTAGTTATTTAAAATTGCAATGTAATTAATATAAACGGGTATTTAAACAATACTTTCGAGTACATATCTCATAGTTAAATTACACTTAACCGGAACAGACAAATTATTTAGGTTAGTATAATAAATAATACACGTCACTAGTAAAAAAAAATGTAAGTAGCCAATGTCATCTTCCAGACTATACTCTACATCTATTCCACATCAAGCCGCGTTTAGCAGTTTAGGCTACAAACATCCATTTATATAAATTTTCATATTTATAATATTAGTAAGAGTAAATATATCTTTTCTAAAAAAAGAAAGAAAGAAAGTATGGATGGATTGTGTGAAAGAGGATATGCTTAAGAAAGGAGTGGATTCAGATATGACGGCTGATAGAGATGTATGGAAGAGCAGCACATACTGTGCCGACCCTCCGTAAGGGATAAGGGCAAGTGGATGATGATGATGAAATATACCTTTTCTAGTTTTAATACGACTGGTGAGGGATTGTCGGCGGTGACGGCGTCAGCTATCTCCTGTCCGATTTGAAACGCGCGCTGTCTGCTCGCGCCGGGAATTAACACGAACATTGAATCCGTATCACCATATATTACCTGTAAAATAAATAAAATAAGCTTTTATTACTGTTCTTAAAGTAAAATAATGTTTTTTATTTAAAATTATATGCTACTAGTTGTTCCCGTGCGGATTCATCCGCATGAAATAATAACAACTTTAGTATACTGTTTACATTTGTCAAATTCTTAATCGCAAATGTCAAAATTACCGTTACCATAATAACCTTGCTTATTTAATATTGGAAGCTTGTACTTTATGGTCCCTTTCCCACATGATGGTGTTTCAGTTTTTTTCACCCCTAAGTTTAATAGTATAAAAATATGTAGCCTAAAGGTCGTAAGTGTAGGGTGTATTCAAAAATATGCTGTGATTGCTGACATCCTACTACACGAAGTAGTGTGTTTACGCTTTATTATATTAGTACAGAAGTATAGACTTTTTATTTATCGCCTGTAATAAAATAATTAAAGTGTTTATTAAATTCGTCAAAGTAAAAAAAAAAAAACTTTACTAGTAGTCTATTTCTTCAGGACTGTATTCTACAGCGTTAGCAAATTTCATTGAGATCCGTCCAACTCTTTAAGCTATAGTCTTTAACAACATCTATCCATCTAAACTTTCGCATTTATAGTGTTAGTAAGATGGAATTTTTTATAACATAAAGTGGCAAACGAGCAAGCGGCCACCAAAGCCCGCCAAACTGGCGAAGCGACCGCTGCCCATAGACATTCGCAATAGCGGGTGCGTTACCTACTCTTAATCGACGGAGGAGACACATAAACAGGATATTTCCCCTTCCTATGCGTCTCCTACACCATCAAATCCACGTTCCCTTCCCATTCTTTTCTTATAAGAAGGGGGAAGGAAAATGGTTAGTCCATTTTCCTTAGTTGGGTCTCCGGCACACACTCTTCAGACGAAACACGGAATTTCTCCCACTTCACGTGTGAGCGTGGTATTGCTGGGGGCGAGCCGATCTATTAGTGCGAAGATGTTAAAGCGGGCTCTACCAATGTTAAGTACTGTTACTTAAGTAGCCTTACCTTTGCATTCCACGTAGTATTATTATTAACGAGTTTGATAGCTCTCTCGAGTGTTTCCCTTCCTTTAGCGACGACACTGTCGCCGACCTCCACACACGGCATGCGGCCGCTGAAGTTAGCCGCGGTATAACCGTATGTAACATTGGCTATTAGTTTTAACCCTGAAACAAACAATAATGTTCAGTTTCAGTTATAAAATAGAGGACAATTAAGTAAAATGCAACTTGTAGCTCACAATGCAGCTCAACTCTTAGGGTTCGTACAAAGACCTGAGTACAAAGATCTGAGTTGATACATCACATACAAAATTGATCTTTATGCGATTAAGAGAAGGTTTAATTTACTTTGTACCTTTTCTTTTAAAAAAGAAATCTTAAAGACAGACAAGAAATCTTAAAATAAAATTAAACCTTGTCTCAATAGTATAAAGTTCTATTTTACTTGCGATAAAATGTTACTTTGCTTTATTCCGTCGTATAAACGAGTTCTTATAGAGACAGCTGTACCTTAAGTGGATAGGAAATAAAATTTTGACTGCAATTCGGAATGTATTATAGTTTTACCTAATTGTCTTGAATGCATTGCCTTTTTGACTGCGTCATCTGTTTGCAGTTTCATGTTGTTCTTGACAGCTTGGCGCGCCGCGAGGATCCTCCGGAGCAGCGCGGGCAGCACGCCGCGGCGCACTGAACACTTGATGAAGCCCACGCCTACAGGCGACCAATGCACCAGACCGTTACCCACTAGAGTGTCCAACTTTGATTTTGGTATACGTAAACGCCACGCGCCGAATTCGTATGGAGCGTCGCTAGAATTCATTAAAAATGTTTGGTTTTGTTTAATGTCATTATTAGCTTTGCCCCGCGACTCCGTCCGGGTGAAATCAAAAAAGTAAGTAGCCTATGTGTTCTTCCAGAGTATGCTCTATATCCGTGACTAATTTCACCAAGATCCGTTCAGCAGTTTAGGCAGCAAACTTTAACAAACATCCATCAATCTAAACTTTCACATTTATGTCATTAAACATAGTATTAGAATAATTATGTTGATAGACTTACCCATTTATATTTTGCACGCGGCCGATGCAAGTAGAGAAACAGTAGTTGTAAGCAATCATCATAGACGGGTATAGACTTTGAAAATCCAACACAATAACCGGGTCTGAGTAGAAACGGGATTCTGTGAAAATTATTAATATTTCATCTACACGAGATTTTAAGATATAAAATTACGTGTAAAAGAAACTGCACGTTTATTTTATAGGATTTCAATTAGATCCAAATTTATAAAGTGTTTCAATTTACTCAAGAAGTAATTCGAGTAAGTCCTGTTCTTACTAACAAAAAACAGTAAAATTTACAAAACGATATATAGCAGTCATAAGCAAAAAGTACACAAGCGATATCAAGAATAATAGTAAAAAATGAAAAACAATTTTTTACAGAAGAATAAGACAAATATACTAAATTAAAGTGAGGGTTGCCTGAAAGAGATCGCTCTTAGCGATAAGGCCGCCCTTGCGCAAACTTAGCAATAACTTAACTCCACCTTTCTGTGGTATTATTTGTACAAAAGTATTAAATACATAAATAAATAAAGTGAGACGTTAAAAGTTCTGAATTAAACGAACCTGGTTCAAATATAAGGGGCAGACATTCTGGCGCCCGCATGGCGGCTCGCTGGCGCACAGTCGGGGACAGCGCGACCAGGTTGAGAGGGCGAGCCGCGCGCAGCATCAGCGACTCCACGCGGAACTGGGAGCCGCGGGACAGCACCTCCCACCACTGTAGACCGAATAGCCGCGCCAGCTCTGATGTACGGTCTAAACACGTACCCAACTTATTTGCTACATTTCAAATTTATTCCACTAACCATCATCCTCCTCATCCTACTCCCGTAGGGTCGGCGCCACTTCTTTCTACTAACGCCTTTTAACATTAGTTTTTTTGTTTCACCCCCATTTTTAGTAAACCTCAATAACATATCAGTTTAATTAAATCTATAGTTTAAACTAGACTTCTTAATGGACGAAGCAATAATACTACAGCTTTACAATATTGAGAAAAATTTTTGTTCAAAATTAGCAATAACCAACAGCGCCCCTAAAACCCCACTCAAGGGCAAAGCGTTCACAAGGGAAAAATTTTGGGTAAACCACTTTGGGAAAGACTGGTCTAAATGGAAGCATACCACAGTCAGGGAGCCTCTTAATATATTGTGTAAGGAATTAAGATGAATGCGTAATAACAATTTCAACTTTTGGTATTTTTTTACATCTAATGCAACTGAAATTCAAGTGAAAACTATACAGGCCAATATGTTACTTAAAATGAATAATAATACTCACTTATCATATCTAGTTTCTCCAACATCCGAACTGTCCCGGACAGTTTAGTCAGGTAATATTCAACGGGAATCCATCTGAAAATCCTCGACTCGTCGCTCCACCATTCAGATAATTGTGCATAACTATACGTTGGTACTCTCTCATTTAGAATAATGTACATACAATTCTCAAAACTATAACTTGATAATGCCAATTCATGTCGAAATAAACGCCAAACATTGAACGTAATTCTTCCAATCACCCTCCCTTCCAGTTCGCTTTCATCATTCCTCCATCGCTTCTGTCGATGTTTCTCGGTTATTCTAGAAATTTCCATTATAACCTCAATGCCCAAGTTTTGAGCCCTCTCTATAATGTAACCCCAAGAACTCATTTCAATATCATATCCGCATAGAATATCTGGATCGTTTTCTTTTACTAATTGTATCAATTTTTCTATACATTTGATCTCATTATCTACGTAAGTCACTTTTGAATTAAAAACACATCTATTTAACAGTTTAGGAGGTGGAAGCGAATCTATGACGAGAATTTCTGTCATCTCATTTTGTAGATAGTGTTTTGATGGACAGTCATTTTTAACAGTAATAAATATGGCTTGGATAGGATCGATTGAAGGATCAGGGTTCAAATCTAGACGTACTGATGTATGCACTTCTACTAGCATTAGTGTAAGGAAATCAACCTAAAAAGTAAAAACAGAAATAAACCACGATGAAATTCAGCACGCAAGAACACAGACTGCATATTAAGTTTTTTTTTAATTCCTCATGGATGAAATATCCGGCAAAAGCTAGGAATAACATAATCCAAAAAATTACTTTTTTAGCAGAATTAAAATAATAAGATAACATACCTCCAATGCTGGGGTGTCAGAAATATTTTCGCTTTGATTTTCTGTCCCAAAACAAAGAAATGAACCATCAGAGTGCATCACTTGTAGACTATTAGATATTTTTGTTTTATCCTATAAAAAATTAAAATAAAAAAGTACTAAATCTATACTATTATAATAAAGCGTAAACACACACTTCTTTGTTGACTAAGGTGTCAGCAATTATAGCATATTTTTGAATAACTCTTTTTGTAATAAAAAAACCCCACACTTACGTCATGCTTTAGGCTATATATTTTCACGCTATTAAACATAGGGATTTAATATTTTGGATAAAAACCCTAATGTAGAAAGAGATCATAAGTTACTGCCAACATCAAGAAAGCAAACTAGCCGTAGTAAGGTAATTGGTATTTTGACATTTGCAATTGATTATTTGACACATGTAAACAATAAAATAACATTTTCTCAAGTTTACGCGGATGAAGTCGCACGCGAACAGCTAGTACTTAAATAAAAAAGGTTTATTATACTTACTTTATCTGTACTTTCTAAGCTAAGGCTACTGTTTATTTCATCTTCATTTAAACCTATAACTTGTGATGATTCCAATTCATCTATATTTCTACTTATTTCTTTACAATCTAAATTAACTTCTGTAGTTATTTCTTTATCTTGTTTCATCCAGTTTATAACATCGATAGTTGTAGGAGGTTTTTTAATTGGTTCCAAAATGTACTGTTTGTTCCCCGCTAATAAAGATTTTAGTATTTCTGGTTTTGATATGTCATTAGGCATTTCATTTGTCTGTTGCAGAAATAACAATTGTCTCCATTCTTCTATACTAGTTGTGTTTAATACTTTTTCAAAAGGATTCATATCTCGAGCTTGAAGACTCTGTAATTTTATGACCATTTGACCTATTTCTATTTTATCACCTACATCTTTATGGTTCGAGAAAAATGGTTTCAAATTAAGATTTTCTGGAATGGAATACTTTTGACATGTTGACATAACATCATTAGTAGTAGGTGGTTTAATTTTAGGTGTTATTATAATTTTTTTATCACTTATATTGTATGATTCTTCAATTTCTTGCTTAATTTTAGTTCCATAAATTTCAATGTTTGTAGGATTCTGTTCAAAATTCGTGAGACTATTTGGAATGTCTTCAGAAAAGCTAGCGTCAATTTCCAAAGACGTATCAATAAATTTTGATGTATCATAAAAACTAGTGATACCCTTGCTTTCTTCTGGTGATGATTCGAAAGAATCATTTATAGAATTATCAGGTATAATAATTTTCTTTTTATTTGTTACGGGTTTTGAAGGTCCAGCGATAGGTTCAAATTTCTTCTCCTTATCATACACAATAGCTGGTTCTAATTTAAAACATTTTTCTGGTTTATTAATACTATCAGATTGCATTTTTACTAATTCAGTAACAGATATATTTGTGCTAATTTTTTCTTCAGGTTTCTCGTTATTTAAACTTACATCTAAAACGTCTATAGACATTTGTAGAGAATTTGTCGTAGTCGTAATTTTGGTTTCTCTACTTTCTGAATTTTCAGATACAATATTTTCTTGTTCTGTTTGAATTGTTTCAGTACCGAGATTTTCGTTTAATTTTTCATTTCCATCTGTTTCAGTGGACTTTTTACTTTTTGGCCTTGATAGACCGAGTTTGAATGATCTCATCTTTCTTTTTCTTACTTTTTTAACATCTAAAACAATATTAAAATCAAGGCATTAGTCTGTTTATCATGTTTTTTTTTCTACTTTTGTTCACATTACTAATTATAATACTTACGATCGTCGTCACATGTACCATCTAATTGTGATATATTAGCACCATCCCAAAAGGTATCATTCCAAGACAGGCTTGTTTCTCTAGTGTCACTTTCACTGCAATTATCAAAAAAATTCTTTATTATAAGGTGTCAAAGTTCGGTTTCAAAATAATAAGTGTAATTAAATAAAATATTACCTTATATCACATACCATTTTTGCAGTTCAGAAGAAATATCATCATTAAATACTTGTGAATATTCTTTATCAAGTTCTGTATCAGAGTTAATTTCTTCTGCTTTCTCTTGAGTACCCATTATACTATCTTCATCAACTGCCTTATCATCCAAATCTTGAAGCATATCCACCAATTCAAAATCTTCACTATCCACTGTAAATACATTTGAATTAAATTGCTGGTTCATCATCATCACCAGCCTCCTACATATCTCAACTCAGGGAGTTAGAGCTTACAATAAGTTAGGGTGACTAGGCCATAGTCAACCATGCTGGCCCATTGCGAGTTTTGCAAGGTTGACTTCACACATATATTTGAATTTCTTCGCCGATATGTGCAGGTTCACGATGTTTGCCTTCACCGTAAAAACGTCGGTTAAATTATGTACACATGAAATTCGAAAAATCGGAAACATGGCGGGATTCGAGCCCAGGACAGTAATCGACAGCGATTACAAGTCAAATGTTCAAACCGTTCAGCCACTGACACTGTAATTGCTGGTCATTTAGTTAAAATTAGATTGGAAATTACTTACACAATACTTGACTGTAATGTAGGGAAAAACTGCTATTTAATGCTATATCTTCATCAACAACTGTGCTATCAAGTATTGTGTTCCCACTATTATTTTTTAGTGTAGTATTTATATTTTCGGGTAAATGTGTACTGACATCAGTTGCATTAAAGAGTTGTGATCCCTCTATAGTCATTTCTGCTGGATAATGTATTCTAGGTTGATTTGTCACCTCTGTATCTATTTCAACCGGTTTATCTATCAGATTAGAATGTTTTACTAAAAACATATTCTGATATTTATAATGTGAATCTGTTTCATCTGTTCCATCTCTATTTTGAGACAGTGTTTTTGATGCTAGAGATATATCTAATTGCTTCCTTCTTTCCATTTCTTGATTCCATACTTCTTCTAAACCTGGATTTTCTATCCCTTCCGCTTTACCGATTCTCTGTCTGTTAATAATCTGTGACGCGACACAATCAGCTTCATAATAACAAATACTTTCAGGCTTTAGACTATCATCGAATTCGTCTAAAGGATCATTGCTACTTTGCGATAGACCGTTTCTACGATATTTAACACTTTGTAAATCTATATTGCTCATACCAAAAAGATTAAAATCTATGAAAAACTGCAAAGTGAAGTTAAGGTGGGATTCATGTGGCTGTAAAGGTTGACCCAATATAGCTCCATTACTACACAATTCTACTGCTTGTCTAATTAAGCCTGGATTATATAAAAATATCTTTAAATATAAATGCTCCTTGTCATGGAATCCATAGAAAGGTCTGAAAGTATACAATAAAACATGACTTACTAGCTTATATGAGTTCTATCTAAAATAAAAAAAAACAACTTACAATCCTTTAACCAAAGTTATTTTATATACATGTTGGTTTGCTGATGTTGCTTGCTTCAATGCAATGTTTATGGCTTTATCTAAACTTGCAGCTATCTGTAAAATTTAAAATTATATACACTTTTTTTTATAATAAAAGGGGGCAAACGAACGGCTTGAACACCAAGGTGGTCAACAACGTCCATGGACATCCGCAACACCAGAGGAAATACAGATGCGTTGCCGGCCTTTGAGGAAATGATAGGCTCGCTTCTTGAAGGACCATAAGTAGTATTGGTTTGGAAATAGTAGAACACTTAAACCATATTCAAAACAATTTAAATATCAAAAGATGAGACATCACATGTAACAAGGACTTTAGTTATGAGTGTAGAGGAGTATATTTGTAGAGGGCTAAAATGAGATAGATGTATTGCGAGAAATGAACATGATAAAGAAGGGAGTGATGGCAGATAATGGAAGTAGATTCAACGAAAGGGCAAAAACCTGTTGCATTGACCCTAAGGAAGTAGGATAAGGATGGGGTGATGATGATGATAATTAATTTGTGTTTTCACCAACGTCATATAAAGTTTAATAACATCATACCTGATACAAAAACTGTGGTTCCGGATTTGGTGTTGGACATGGTAAGTAAAAGTAAGGGAATACACCATGTATATGAAGGCAAGCCTTTCTTCCTTCCGGAGTAGGACCAAAAATTCTTAGCACTGGCACCTAGTAACAGAAAAACATTACTGACAGTCAAGAAAAACTACACTTTTTAAGTTACATTTGGGTAAGGCTTAAATACATAAGCTATATTGAAATCATGATTATGGAATCAATTATAACTCTTAGAGATTTTATGTACCTTTAAAAAAAATATTTCAAGTACCTGCTTTATATCCGATCCTCTAAATTCGGAGTATATAACATCAATACCTGGTATTGGCTTTGTAAGATAATGATCACACACTACTATTCTTACAGAAAATTCTGCCTTCCTTGATAGAGATGAATCTGAAATTTATATAAAATGTATCTGTATATGACATGATAATGGTTTATCTTTTAACACAGTTTATTACTTAGTACTCTCAATTTGTAAGAGTTACAATCATAAACATTAAAATGCACAATCTTAAAAGAAATTATACCTGTAAGGTTAGTTCTGTTAGTATTTTGAATAAAGGAGTTTGAAGAATTCATTTTCCACTATTGTATACTACAATCTCGATAAATTAGGGAAAGGCTTCTTAAAAATATGAAAACAAAACCAAATTAACATCTTGGTACGTATTTTCATGTTTAATCATGTTTTGTTGTTTTGAGTAATGAAAATGACTTTGTCATTATGACAATGACATAATGTCTTTTACAAAGAGTAGAATTTGACATTTTACATTCCTTCCTTTTCAAACATTCCACTCACCCGATTTCATGTTTCTTGTGCTTTGTAATTGAATTAGAGCTTTAGAAAGATATATGCTGCAAAAAATGGCCTTAAAGCTTTAATTTTAAATAACCTATTTCAAGTTTTCCAAAAACATCGTTCTAAAAAATTCTTAGACAAAAGCTTACTCTTTTATGTTTTATTGAATTTGATTACTTATGGTTTTATTTGACATTGTCACTCTGTCATTTACATGTCATTGTCTGTCTTTCAGCTGTTTCAGTTAAAATAATTACAAAAAAAAATTAGTCGTGTCGTACTTTGTTCATCGTTCTGTAGAAATTGTGTTAAATAAAAAGTTAATTTTTGGTACGTGGAAGAAGAAACAATAATTCTTTGTGCAATACATTAAATAAATTGTTAAAAATGTGAACAAAAAAAGAGATAACTCTATTGCTGTGATATTTTATGATGCAGTGGTCAGTTTATGTGGGACATCTTGTTAAAATGTTCATAAAAAGGTAAAAACAATCGAATGGTAAATGATGGATGATGAGGAAGCTGATTTGCGCGAGCAGATATTCCACAATAATGTTCGGGAGCAGATCGTAAGTGTGACACACATTTTACGTTGTCATTTTATGAATACTGGTACGCAATTTATTCATATGCTATAATTTGCATACATTTTGTTGCAGATTTTCTTGCTATTATTTATATTATTATATCTGTTGTCGTTTATGCTGATTGAGAAGTTCCGACGGCGTGACAGCGAAGATTACTTTACAGCTGATGAGGATGAAGTCAAAGTGTACAGGATCAGTCTGTGGCTATGTACCTTTGCCCTAGCCGTATCACTGGGCTCTGCTTTATTGCTGCCATTGTCAATAATTAGTAATGAAGTGCTTATTTTGTACACCGATACCTACTATGTTAAATGGTTGAATAGCTCTCTAATTCAAGGTTTGTATATTTGTAAATTCAAGGTTTCATAACCCTTTTATTTTAAAAAAAACCTGCATATTATGTATGTATTTTTGTGTTTTAGGTCTTTGGAATCATGTATTCCTATTTTCAAATTTGTCGCTATTTGTGTTCCTGCCATTTGCATACTTATTCTCCGAGTCATCTGGGTTTCCTGGGTGCCGTGGCCTGCGTGGACGTGTATATGAGACATTTATAGTCCTGGCGCTCCTGGGTGTGGTGATGTTAGGCTTAGCATATGTGATATCTGCTTGGCTTGAGGGTGACAGATCCAGTATTGATGCTCTGCTTAGTAAGTATGAGGTTTTTTATTTATGGTACAGTAGAAGTTTTAAAACTAAAAGTGTAGACATCACTTTTATGTTGTTTTATACTGAAAGTTGAAATTGTCTATGTTTTCTATTGTTTTTAAATATGTTTGTTTTGTTCACAGGTTTGTGGACTTATCTGCCATTTTTATATTCTTGTGTATCCTTTGTGGGTGTCCTGATGTTGCTTGGTGAGTCATTCTTATTTAAAAACCTTTTTCTAACATGAATATATCTAGCAAATTTTTTATTGAAGCTCACAAAAGGTGGTTTCAAAAAGAATTGCAAATCTACCTAGTCATTTACAGATATATGAGTGTAGTGTTCATCAATATGGATTGTTATTATTTTGATTTTAACACAAATTGGTTATAGTATATCTACTTTAGATTGCCACCCAAATAAATTTCGTAATTTTTATCTTTATCAGAATTTATTATCTTTGTTTTGTTATCTTTATTACTAAGTGAAGTATTATAAACCATTCATTTTGACATTATTCAATCTATAAATGTGTACAAAGTTCAAAGTTTGTTAGAAAATGTTGACTCATTTATACACTTGTACAATATCAAAATTTATAGCAATTGCATGTCCATAACATTATCACAATAACTGACATAACTAAGTTGTTTATGTTCCTAAATCCGTTTCGTTTTATTGTTTGTAATTTCTCTACAAATAAGTACTGCATATATTATATGAGGGGTATAAAAAATAAATATGCTTAAGTCTTTTTTGACTGACTTCCCAAAAGAAGGAGGTATTCAATTTGTCTGTATGTTTTTTTTACACTAAGCAGACCAATTTGTAATACATCTAATAAGCTATTGGTATGCTTAATATAATAAATATGGACTGAGACATATTTTTATTTATACTCTCCATATTTCGGTATATTGTGTCTTTATCAAGATTATCAAAACGCCAATCAGTTTTTGTTTACGGTGCTTAGTAAATCAAACAAGATTAAATACTTTATCTTGTAATTGCGGGCACATTATCAAATAAATAATATCCTGTAATTTCGACAGTAATAAAGATTACAATAAATGAAGAAATGAGAGACCCAGTTAATAGCAATGCAGTAATAATAATTTTATTTCTCACGATGATTCTATGCGCAATTAGTCAATCTCTATTCATTAGCATAGATGAATTTAATTAAAATAAACAAATTAAGAAACAAAAACGTAACATAATGGCATAAATATCAGTAATAAATTAGAACGAAATTCGAGAATTGCTCACTATTCAAAATAAATATAAAGGAATTCATTCGTCATTATTTTCAAAATTCTCCTCTTTACTAAGAAAATATGTGATAAGTTCTTGATGTTGTGGGAACATCTCCTCTACTTCTCTCTTGCTTTCATCAAATTTGTCAATTTCTTCCAACTCCTTGTATGCCTTAGTTTTGTATAGGCGCGCTTTAAAACTCTTCTCGTTTATACGCAGTGCCCAATCGCAGTCATCGAGAACCTTAAAATATAACACACATAGTATCCGAAGGTAATGTCATTTTTAAACAATTTAAATTTTACCTTTCGATAGTTTTTGAGTTTAATGTTGGTGAGTGCACGATCACAGTACAGCATGTGGTTGTCCTTTATGAATTCGATGGCTCGATTGTAACATGACAGGGCTCTGTCGTAATCGCCCCGTCGGAAAGCCTTCATAGCCTGCGTCTTCATCGTGTCCATCTTCTCATGGCGTATCTTACGGTCTTCTGCACGCTTCTCCGCGTCTTTGCTGACTTCTGCCATCCAAGCCTCTTTGCCCATTTCGCCCTGGAAAATTGTTGTAAATATTATTCGAACTTAGGGCTCTAAAGTCATGTGTTATATTTTATAAGGTTAATTTGTTGATTGTTTAAAAGACGTAAGCCGTTTGATTTAAATACATTTTCAATATTTCTTATGTATCTCTGTGTTTTTACTTCACAATCACATAAGTCAATATTTTCTTATATTAAATAGGAAATACAACTATACAAAAAAGACTTTGTCGTTATGTAGTTTGTGGAAGATAATTACGAAACTCTACGCGAATGGTTATTTTGTCTCTGCTTAATTGATTCTCGTTGCATAGGCATTTAGGTCAGCATTCCTCGCGGCTTGGCGACCAACTTTGTGTTTGCGGAATGTTTTCTATTCCTATTGCACTCCAATTGATTTACAAAATACTTTATAACAGCTCTCGTTGCTCGAATTACGTGTAGATTTGTCACGATTATCTGCTATTTGTAGTCTACTAATTGATGAAATTATGCCTGTATAAATAGTTACGTTGTATATTCTACTATAGTGAAGCTTATTTTAATTCAAATCTTTTTTTCGTATTTGAATTTGGGGGCAAGAGCTATATTTAGTATCTCATTAGCCCAAAATAACACCTTAAAACAGTTTTATTCCGACAAAAATAATCTTTACATCACACCAACGCAAATGTACGGGAGAGAAAACAAACGCCAATATTAATACGCGTTTGAAAGCCAACACGCTTTCTACTAAACATACATGAATACGAACATATCAAAAGCATCTCGCACGTGTAATAGCCTGCGGTAGAAAAATCAATAGGGTAATGATTGATGTTATTAAAAAGAGAATAGAATAATATATAATTGTTACATTAGCCTTAATAAATTTGTTTGGTGGATTTTACGTCATTTTATGGTAAAGCTACACGTTATCCATATAATACGTCAATGCCAATCAAATTTCATAATACTTTTTCATATTATATTCAATCGTATAATGAATTCGTAGAATGTAACATAAAATAATGTAAACAAGGTAACAATGACTTACAGCATTATTATCGAGGCCTTCAAATGCTTTCTGATTTATAACAGTTCTATTATCTTTAAGTTTCATTTCTATATCTTCGTCAGAAATAACCTTTCCTTCTAAATACTGATCAGCGAGAACAGTCGCGGCGTCAGCTTTGGCTTTGTCACCACTTGCGAGGTCTTTCACCAAGTTGGATACTTCGCCGATCCTCTTCATAAAATTGTTCCATTCCTCGTTCAGTTGGATTTCTTTTGTAGTTTTTAATGCAGGGTTTGATAAGATTTTCTTCGTGTTCATTGTTTATGTATCGATAAAATCTTGTTTTGTTAATCACATTGACATAACAGTAAACATAGTAACGGTTGTTAAGTTATTTGACAATAAGATAGTGTTGCACCAATCTTTAAATTGTTACCAATTTGGTATATTTTTAGCTTGTCATTTTCACATTCTTTTTTTCAATTGCGTATCGTTTTGTTTTATTAATAGTTGAAAGAAAAGTGTACGCTAGATTTTTTCTACTGTCTAAAACTAAAGCTGTTTAAATGCTTGTCGGATAAGACAACTTGAAACATAAAACCTCATCATCCTTATTTGTTTTGTATAAAATGAAATGTAATCAACTCAAAAACTTGGCATAGTAATCACCTTTTTGTCATCTATAAAAACAATGAACGTGTTGAAACAAATTAGAATTTTTTAATACGTAAAAACGATAGCATCTGATTCGTCTAAAACTACGATTACCTTGGACTATGTCCATAATTTCGTTGTGCGGGTCGCGTTTTTGTTGAATTCAAATTATACAATCGGCTTTCATGGTTACGACAATAAGTGGAAATGGTTGCGGAAGAGTTAACGTCAACAATCATTGTTACATCGTCGTTTCATAATAGTTAATGATCCGTATATCCCATTAGTAAATTTTGAGTACAAGTAATAATGTTGTGTTGGAGATATGAAGTGTTAATGATGGTTTATATTTTCTTTAGCTTGTTTACTAGTATTTTTCCAGATGCCTGATAATAAAATACAAACGATTGCAAAAGCTATAACGTTTTTTAAAGAAAAAACTTACTTTTTTTAGTATCCTAAAATTGGCACAGTTTTGTAAATTCATACTTCAGTTTAACCTTCGTTGTGTATTTATGAAAAAAAATCTTACTGAAATTTGCATGTTATTAATAAGTAATTGAAATCATTTCTCCAAAGACGGTATTTCCAAACCTTCAAAAAGCGAGCCGATCATTTCCTCAAAGGCCGGCAACGCATCTGTAGTTCCTCTGGTGTTGCGGATGTCCATGGGCGTCGCTGACCACTTCGGTGTTTTCGCCACTCGTTTGCCCCCCTTTATTATAAAAAAAAGACATAACGACCAGCTTTCTTAAGACTGTCTGAATATTTTAATAAATATTACGAACTGTGACTAAATACGCGTAAAGTAGACATTTGTTTGGGTTTCGTGTAGACGTATGTTTGTAATGGTTTTATTTACTTGTTGAACAGTTATCGGAGTCCAAACGTCAATAAGGGCATTAATTATTTACAGGATTGTATTTAATCGATATTTTGTCGTGGCTGTTAAAGGTAACTCTACATAGTAATAAATTATAACTCACAAGCTTTTTCCCGCGTAGAATTACTTAAAAAACAAAAGCAAGTACCCTATGTGTTCTTCCAGACTATCCACGAAGTCTGTGCCAAATTTTATCAAGATCCGTGCAACAGTTTAGGCTATAACCTATCCATCTATCTAAAGTTTATGATTTTAGTAAGATTTTTAAATCTCTTTTTTTTATTAAATCCAGTATGCACCCCTTTGGGCTTCGTGCGTCTCTTCGGCGTGATAAGCGGTGTGCTGGTGAAGCCTCAGTTTCTCCGAGACCTGAACGAGGAGTACTATGTCTACTCGTTTGAAGAGAAGACAATACGGCGTAGGATCGACACATCTCTCGCCTCAGGTCAGTTTTTAATTTATAGTACGTTTCAAATAAATTGCAAGTACCGGCGCTATATTGTAACGTCATAGCTGTCAAAGAAATAGACTAGATTAAACAAATTATTTACTTAAAGCGCACGCACCTAATTGACTAAACAATTGCACAACTATTTAATCGCAGTTTGATTCCTATAAGCTTATATGGAGATGCTGAAACTACTCGATTTTTAGTTGTGCAATTAAACAGTTGAATGGGCTGCGAAACAAGCGACAATCGCACAACAGTTGTTTGATAGTTTAGTCAAAGGTGTGGACCCGCTCGTCTAAAATTGTTTACGCAAATGCTTTTTGTTGAAGACTGTACTTTTCTTATGATTTTTGTAATGATAGAGGTCATTGACGCACGTTCTACTTGACACTGGCCCAATCCGCTGAGGGAGAGCCATAAACAAGAAATAGAATAGAATAGAATAGAATAGAATAGACGCACGTTCTTGTATGGAACTCGTGTATGTATTGTTTCTCGGTGTTGTTAGTTAGTTTTGTTTTGTTAATTTTAAGAGCATTATCTACACAATTAAAATAAACAAATTGTTAATTATCAATGAGCATTGAGTAATATCTGTATTGTTTATAGTTTTTTTTATTTCTTTGATTAATTTACATTATTGGAAATGATGAAAGCAAAGAATGCAAGATTTACTTCGGTAAATGTTTGAAAAAAGAATGTTTTGTTATGCAGCTACACAAGTTAGGTAGTTAGTTTTTGTAGATACCACAGAGTTTTATATTAGACATAATATACAGTTATAATACGTATGTTTTCGTTACGTTTGTAAGACGAAATCATCATACAAAAGTTAACGTGTGTAGCCTGCATTAGTCTAAATTTAGATACAGATAAAATTGTAGATCGCATTTTATTATCTGGGATTAAAACAAATGTAAACGTTGATATTGTTTGAAGAACGTTGCCAAATGCATTATCTTTGTGTATTGGTTGGCAAACGATTTATAGCGGAGCACGATAGTTTCGCGAATAATCGGCAAGTTTAAAATTAGAAAATCGATTTATTTGTTCTACGTTAAATAAAAATTTATATGTTTTTACTTTCGAATAAACGAGTTATCATAGTATAATCAAATCTTTGCATCGCAACTTTATTTTTATCTTGTAAAAGCTTCATGTATATACCGGCTATTATTTTCTTCATAGAGACAAACAGTAAAACCGGTTTAAAATCGAGACGATATGCAATTAACTTTTATGGTTTACCTGAGTTTTTTTACTCATGGCTAGAGTACGCAAAAATATAATAAGTTATTTGCCTTGTTAATTAAATAATTAAAATTAATTGCAGAGTATGTTTTTTTTAGTAAAACATACAATTTGTATAAATAATTTAATGAATTTTGACCTCTTGGGCTTGTAGTGTTTAAGATGTCGTTTGGTACATTACAATTATGGACCTAGAAACTAAGTTTTTCTGTCCGTAACCTAACAGTTTAGGTAGTATTGTCTTATACCTTTGTTGCTATCCACATTCAAACTTAATACCTTCTTGTTCATGTCTTTAGCTCTCCGCATAACATGTCCATACCATGCTAACCTTTTGATTCTCAATTTCCCTAACATTGGCGCTACTTTCAAACTTCCTCTAATATACACAACTTGATTCCTTCCTGTCATACCACAAATCGTTCATTTTAAGCATTTTAGCCAAATTCAATCTCTTTTCATCCGCAACAGCTAGTTGATCTATACAAATTACATAAAAAAATAAAAATTAGCTTTTGTATATTGTTAGCACTATGTAATGCATAAATCATACAGTCAAATCTGATGCGACCTCGGCACCACGACCTTCGTACTAAGTTTGATCTCTACGTGACGCACATATAATGATTTTTTTTGTATATGTAAGTTTTCTTACCTGTTTGTTTGCACATTGTTTTACAGATTAAACAAACATTAGAATTTTCTTATTCATTTAAATCATGTTATTGTACCAAAAAAGAAGTATACAAAAGTGAATCCTAATTCACGTAGATAAATGTATTGACATTTGATACGTTGCATATTAATTGCCTAATACTGGACATCAATAAAACGATAATTTAAATATTAAAATTAGCTCGGATCCAAGAAATTGTCTTATTGTCAGATTAGTAATGAAGTAAACATTATGTTTAATTTTTTTATTATCACAGTTATATTATAAATGCGAAAGTTTAGATGGATGGATGTTTGTTAGAGTTGATAGCCTAAACGGCTAAGCGGGTTTCAATAAAATTTGGTATAGATGTAGAGGATAGACTGGATGAACACATAAGCTACTCACTTTTGTTTTTTTCAATGTTACGCAGGAGTCGCGGGCGAAAGCTAGTATCTAAATATTTTTTGCGAGTTGTTAACAACAAAGTTGTTTAGAAGACAGATTGAAACATAGAAAAAGTTAATGTATAAATTTGTATTACATATTGTAGAAGCAATTTGCTCTATATTCTAAATACACTTAAATCAATAAGACAACTAATTAACGATTTTAATTTGTTAGGTTTTTTTATTGCAGTTGTCATACTGAATGCTTTTATGTTTTAATTTAAAATCCTTTAACGATTAATTTATTAAAAAAAATCAAGGCAACCACTTGCGGTTAGTAAACGATATTGGTAGTACATATTAATAACAATTATCTTTATATCTTGAGGTAAAAAGACATTGACGATATCTTGTCGAGGTTTAATGCGGTTTGGATCATTGCCTTGCGAACTGCTTAAAGTTTCAATATATTTCTACGCGCATTGTGAATATTATTTCCTTACCAAACCGAAAGTTGATGTTCTGTCATCTTGTTAAAAATTTAGTTGTTTACTGAAATGTATAAATTTAAATATTAATTGCCGTATGCTACGCGTTCCTTTACACTTATCATTTATTATAGTTTATGATAAGATTAGTTTTGGCTTAATAAAGACTTCCGTAGTAGTAATGGCTCCTTTTAAAGTCCTACAAGATACCAGATTAATATACAAATATCGAGTTTAGATAGACAGGTGTCCAAAAACCAATACTGTGATTTTTCTTTGTCTCTGATAGATTATGAAATAATAAGTTTTAAGAAGGTCTTATTTTAATTCTTTGTTGTCGATGCGATAAACCGGTACTTTTAGACTTTAGACCCAATTTGTAAATACGTTTATGTGCCATACAATATTGTTTCTGTTAACTATATAATAATAGCTATATACTATATAGTAAATAATGAATTATTAAGGTATACTAATAATATAATATCAAGTTATAGGCTAATTTTGATTCATTGTTGTCTTAGAAATAGTTAACAGTGGTAAAGCCCGCTTTAACATCTTCGCACTGCAGGGTCGGCTCGCCCAGTGTAATACCACGACCACACAAAAGACAGGCGTGAAGTGGAAGCAATTCCGCGTTTCGTCTGATGAGTGTGGTGCCGGAGGCCCAATTTTAGTCCCTTTCCCGTCCCACCTTTTTCTTTAAGAGAAGGATTTAGGGTAGGCAACGCATCTGTAATTGCGGATGTCTATCGGCAGCGGTCGCTTCGCCATTTTGGCGGATTTAGGTGGCCGCTTGCTCGTTTGCCACGTTTTTGTATAAAAAAAATATAGTTTAGGAATACCTTTAGTTTTATTTGTTTAAGGTCTTTAAAAACTGATTGAACTGTTGTCTAAAAATAGACGCATTGTCTGTAAGATTTCTGTTTATCTTTGAAGACACGCAGTTCGAATGTACTTAGTGGCTGATAATGTTGAACGAAACCTTGACCTTCTGTTGAGCGTGTACTGCGAAGTAGGTAGCAAGTTTTTTGTTTACATCTTGAAGGGCTGACAAATATGTGAAGTAAACTGTTCGAGATGCAAACTACGTTATATAAAAAGCTAGCTTTCGCCCGCGAGTACGTGCGCGTGAAATTAAAAAAAATTGTAAGTAACCTATGTGTTATTCCAGGCTATTGCCTACACCTATGCCAAATTTCATCGAGATCCATTCTACCGTTTAGCCTACAAACTCTAACATCCATCCGTCTAAACTTTCTCGTTTATAATACTAGTAAGATTGGTAAAATTAGTAAGATAAGATTTTCAGTATGTAAGGGTTTGTAATTATAATTGAAGTTATCACTTTGTTTAACTTATACAGGGTCAAATTTAATACATAAAAATGCTTAACTTTGTATCTTTATAAAAAAGACGTTAGAGAGGTTACACCTACAGTAACTGAGATTACAGTTAATTAGTATGTTTACTTCAAATGTACAATTGCTCTCCTTTACTATATTTTGTAAGAATGCATATAATCTTATTTGCGGCATTACTGGCAAATAGAACCTAGAGTCAAACTCCCAGTTAATTCTACATTTTTAAAGACATCTATAACTGTTAGTAAGGTAATAACGTCCATTGCCAAACACAGATTCCTTTTCATGTTTAATGAAGATAAATGTAAATGTGATATGTCAATATTGTCTCTGCATCTTATCACTTCCATCTCGTTTGTAGGTCGTTGCTTTTTATAGCTACAACAAATATTGCAGGGGACACTGGCGCAGTATGTTGTTGGTCTCAATACGAGTACGAGTCTATTATTTGTTTATTGCATTGGTTTCTGAATTTCTAACTCATCCCGTATATCTGTTTTGATAATGTTTTTGTTTTATGTCAAGAGTTTAATTTAATATGTTAAATACTTATTGACTTTTTTGCTAATTGATGATTTAAAAAAAAAAGATATGAAGTTTACAGTTTTTTTGTGTATGTACTTTATTTCAATTTATCTAAAACTTCGTTGAGTAGAGGCTTGATTAAAAGTACTCTTAAATTAATTGGTACATCTCTGAGTTGACCAATAATGGATGTACTACGTCATAGCTCCTAATTATGACTGGAAAAGTTCGAATTGCGTTTATTTATTTTTGTTATAAAAAAAACATTTTTCTGTATATATTTTTTAGTTCCCGATGGTCTACTTAAATCTACTTTGCTAAGTTATTGTTGTGTAAATAATTGCGATCCGTAAGACCTGCAGCAATTTGAAATGTTGCTTACAAAAAAAAGAAAAACAACGTTTCCAAGCATAGTGTTGTGGGAAGTTTGCGTTAATTTGAATATACCAACGGATGTTTTTAAAAATATTATTGTTTTATCTTCTTATAATTATTTATATTTCGTACATTCCTTGATGGTGGTAAGCATTCTATACAATAGGTTTGTGAATGAGTTCAAACAAATCACATTATGTGTTCCAAGGATGTGGCCACGCATCGTGTCATTGAACAATGCCGGAGCACAAACAGTCAATTGTTTGCGATTACCGTGTTAACGGAGCGTGTATATCTTTTACTAGCTGTACCTCGCGATTTCGCTTGTGTGAAATTAAATAAAAATGTAGCCTATGTTACTCACAGATAAATTTCCTTTCTAATGGTGAATGAATTTTTTAAATCGGCCTAGTAGTTTTTGCGTGAATCAAATACATACAAAGATGCAAAAATTTCTTCTTTATAATATTAGTATTGATTTGTGTAGCATTTACGTAAATACTAAAGTACGAAGTTGCAGAAGTCGTTGTATATGTTAAGAAATGTGTTTGATTTCTCTTCTAAAAACTTAATATTTTAACCAAGGTCTGAATAAAAGACTGAATATCTAGCTGGCTAGATAAATAATATTTGATATACCTTTAGCCACAAACCTCTGGCAACTAAGATGAATGGTTTACCTGGAGTTCTAGAGACTTTCCTGACTACTGTTAAATATTATCGTAGGTTCGAAGATACTTGAAGAATTACTTATTCAGCCCAGTTAATTTAATTTACATCGAAATGTTTTTTTTTAAACCATTATCTGTCCTAAATAGTTTAACTGAATACATGTGTATAGATTAAAATATATTTCAACACAATAAACACGACATTATCGAACGTATTGGATGCGTACATTCCTAAGGTCATTGCACGTGGTGAAGGCACGTTGACGTTCCGCAGGTACGAGTACATAAAGCCGTGTAGATAACGTTAGTTTTGCCTAATGTATGTTTACTAAACAAATTATGTAACACTAGCTTTCGCCCGCAACTCCGTCCGCGTGGTATTATAATAAAAACAGTAGCATATGTGTTCTTCGTCTACGACAAAATTTCAGCTGTTTAGACTACAAACTCTAACAAACATCCATCTATCCATCCATCCAAACTTTCGTATTTATAATATTACTATGATTATGGAAATCAAAAGTATTTCTGAATAGAAAAAAAAGATAAAATGGTCTTGTCTACGCCCATACAATAAATTTGTTTTTTTTTTTAATTCAGGTGCTGGCTACATATCTCCAGAGCCGATGTATGTTGACCACGGAGATATATCAGCGCCTATCAACACTGATCTATCCCGGACTAAGGATGTGATAGACCATCATTGTAAAGAGACGCCCCTACTCAGGCTGCGGAATGGCGCGCTACAAGCCGGCCTTAATGAGAGACTGGAGAGGATCGTAGCTATGAGGAAGGTTAGTTTGAAAATAAATAATTAATCTATATAAATATAATGAAGAAACACACTACTTCGTGGCGTAGGATGTCAGCAATCACAGCATATTTTTTAAATAATAATAATTTAATAAAAAGCCCTAAGCGCAGGACGTGTACGACACGCTTTAGGCTATATATTTTCACGCGATTAAACTTAGGGGAAATATTTTGGATAAAAACCCTAATGTGGGAAGGGGTCATAAACTACGTGCTGCCAACATTAAGGAAGAAAAGTTATTATGGTAACGTTAATTTTGACGTTTGCAATTGAGAGTTTGACAAATGTTAACATTAGTTTTTTTTTATTTCAATTCGCATGAAGCCGAGGAACAGCTAGTTAGACATAAAAAATCGTAGCTGTTGATAATGCGTAGATTGGCAGGATCTTGTCTGTAACGAAATTGGTAAGCGTCTATATGTAAAACGGATGATGCCATATGAATCTAGTTCAAGGGCCCCTCTTGAATTTACGAGATTATTAGTTGGTTTATAGTATTTTGTATTGCTTACAGTCAATTGTTTTCTTAACAGTCTTTTTGTATAAATGTTTTCTCAATACTAAAAAGGTATGAAAAGGTACAGAGAGGTTTAAAACAATTTATTGATCGGGAAAAATTTCCTCGTCAAGTGTCTAAACAGGTCTCATTTATGTTTTTACAGTTTGCCTTTTTTTTTTAATAACCGGTAACCGGTTACGGTGCACCCCAAAAATAAACGATGTGCATTGACCGATAAACAAATTGAATTTGAACGGATGTGGGAATGGTATCGAGTGTAATTTTAAGTAAAAATACCTCCTCCATTATTCCACCAATCAGATTATAAGTATCAATTAGTAAAATTAATATTTGCCTTTTCCGATTCTGTAATCAAGGACAGTAAAAGAATGTAATTTGCTCACCAAAATGTCTATAAAACCTACTAGTTGTTGCTCGCGACTATGCCCGCGTCAACTTAAAAATATAGCAAAAATATAATCTATGTTATTCAGTGATAACATAGCTTTTTAATGGTTCAAGAATTCTTGAAATCGGCCCTGTAGTTTTTGAGTTATATCAATACATACAATAATCCAAAAATACAAATCTTTCCTCTTTTTAATATAAGTATAGATAGTATGTTATTACAAGTTTTTGATCTAACTGCATTGTGAGTGTGCATTTCACTAAAATGGGTAGGAAATTAACGTCCTCTACTATGCATTACGCAGGTTGGTTTACATTATAAAGATTACTTTTGATGTAGCGTGAAGATAATATCGTCACGATCCAAAAACATATAAAACAATTGGTATTGATTACGTATAAAGGTAACGCGAGCGTTTTGTTTAATTAAAATTATTTACGCTTTATGATGAAATAGTTGTGTTATGATGATTATTAAAGACCTTTTAATTTGTACGTTTTTATACTTATTTTGTTGTAAATTATAAAATAAAAGGAATGGAACAAGTCATGGTACAAATATAGATGTAATGTAATTTTTTTTAATAAGAGAACTACGCTGGAATCACAAAATCCTTTTTCACAGGTGCCAGATTATTCACGGTTAAAAAGTTCAGTATAACTCTACTGTTTTTACACGTTTAATAATTACAAGCTTTCAAAAAAAGAAACAAAAAACAAAAATAGTCTATGTGTCCTTCCAGACTATCCTCTACGTCTATACCAAATTACATCGAAATCCGTTTAGGCTACAAACTCTAACAAACATCCATTCATCTAAACATTCGCATCTAAAATATTAGTATGATTTGAATAAGCCTATAGAGTAACTATGAGAATGATGAAATCTTAATAGTTTTTTTCACAACTTTTATAATTCAAGATGAAACACGTGAAACTATTATTAATATACGCAAGAATACTAATATTATTATAACAAAACAATAACGAATTATGTTATGCTCACGCTATTTGATCAGCTTCATTCGTGATTAACTCCCATTGTTATCACAATATCTGCTATGATCCATTAGTCACACTAACTGGCTCGTGGGAGATCTCTTACGTCATCATACTTCATACTAATATTATAAATGCGAAAGTTTAGATGAATGGATGTTTGTTAGAGTTTGCAGCCTAAACGGCTGTACGGATTTCAATGAAATTTGGTATAGATGTAGAGGATAGCCTGGAAGAACACATAGGCTACTCACTTATGTTTTTTTTAATTTCACGCCGACAGAGTCGCGGGCGAAAGCTAGTATTCCATAATATTTATACGGCTTTTGATACAAAATAAATTTTATTAGTATTTTAAATTAATATATCAATAGCCCAATGGTAAGCCAATTTAGGACCACGTGGTCCCGACATTCGACTATTGTGAACCATATCCTAGCACAAACCTGGAGCTAAGTTGGAATTGTGAAGGAAATATTAGAAATTAACTACAAATCTACTAGTATTAAAAAAATAATATCAGTATCTATACTTAATATTATAAAGAGGAATTGTATTTTTTATTTTTGTATGTATTGAAATAACTTAAAAACTAGCAGGCCGATTTCAAAAATTCTTTATCGTTAATAATCTACATCAGTGTATTCATGATTATTTTTTAGTCTCATGCGGACGAAGTCGCGAGCAACAGCTAGTCACTAATAAAGACTATGCTTCAACTTTCATGCTATTCGAATTTAATTTAAGAATTCGACAAGCTGGTTTGTGGCAGCCCTGAGTATTTTATTCGGTCCTTTATCTACAACTAATTAAAAAAACACATCTTGTATAGAAAATCATTAGATCTCGTGTATGACAGCTAATTGATAGCATTACGATTTTCAATTACAGGAGGTTGAGAAGCAACGTAAGACGTCTTCGCTGCAGCGCAACGTGGTATACCCGTTAGCCATGCTACTGTTGCTGGCACTGACCGCCATCACCGTGCTGATGGTGCTGCAGAACGCCCTTGAGCTCCTTATCGGCATTAAGGCGCTGCCGCTCAGCACACGGGTAAGAAAATCTTACGAACTGGCCATATTTATTCGTAGATGAGGCGATTATTAAGATATAATGTTCGTAAGATACGGGTTTCTTACCGGTAAGAAACCTGTATCTTACTAATATTATATTTGTAAAAACCACGACAGTTTAAGATTATTAAGATGTCTATTGGAAAAAGAACTAAAGTTAACCATAGGCAAATGCAATAATTAAGATAAGCTTGTGTTGCTGATTTTATTGTTTGAGAAGGAATATAAGATTGGATAAGGTCACTTACTAGATCAAATGCAAGCGAAATACATTTGATGACAGTTTTTAATATAGGTTGCTTATTTTTTATTACAACTTAATTTAATAAACTTTTATGCAAAGTAACTTTATTTTATACTTCGTGGTTAACATTAAAAATTGTATCGTCAGCAATTCACGCTGGGCATAGCTTCGCTGTCGAAGCTGGGGTGGGCAGGGGCGACGTTGGAGGCGTTTCTCATCCTGTACTTGCACGCGGCCTCGCTGACTGGTCTGGCGGGCCCCATGGCCGCGCTGCGCCTCTCGCCGCGCGCGCGCCGCACGCCGCTCAGGAAGATCATCGGCGCCTGCGCACTCCTCGTCGTCTACTCCACCGCGCAGCCGCTGCTCGTTAAAATACTAGGTAATATACCAAACATTCTTCTCTAACCACACTAGTAACAAGATGTAACTAAGAAAATTGTCTAACTCTCCCCAAAGCTAAGTTTGTTTCGGGTAATTTTCAAAACGGTTGGCCAATTTTGACTGGGCTTTCCCTAGAAGATAATTATTCAGGAAGGTTATAGTCTATAGCCTGATAAAAAAAATTAAAGCCATCACCGTATTTCGGAAAAAAATATGAAAATATCGTTGCAGTGAAAGATATAATTAAGAAGTCGATTTGTGTGCCATTAGCCCACCATTTTTTTTATCCTTAGTGATCAATAAGGACATTATTGAAATACCACTTTCTCAGTGCAGACTTTAACACTTAATTCGATAGCGTCCAGCTTGACCAAACTTTAGAAAAAAAAACTATTTCATACATCATCGGAGCTATGTATCCAATAATGTGACTACTAAAAAACAGTTTTTTTGCTACTTAAAAGTTCGAAACTTAGTGACGTCATATAGACGTTTGGGTCATATTCACCGATTAGACTATACATTTTTTTTAGATCAGTGCGACTATTTTTTAGATTTTTTGAGTGATTCGGGAATCACGGGCGAATCTAGTTGCTAGTTACTAAATGTACGTTCTCTTGTAGGTATAACAAACTTCGATTTGCTCGGCGAGTTCGGTCGCATCAAATGGCTGGGTAACTTCAAGTTGGTGATGTTATACAACGCGCTGTTCGCGGGCACGGTGACGCTCTGCCTCGTGCGCAAGTTCACAGCCAGCGTGCGACGTGAACTATACAACAGGTTGGTGGAGAACCTCAACACGGTCGCGCACTGCGTCTCCTTCCTCAACAACTGACGTCATATGTCACTGACGTAACTACTGTTGCCAGTTTAAGTGAAATGTCTTACTTTTAGTAGTTTTTTTTTTGTATGAACAATAGCACCGTGATTATTTAAAAAAATATATGAAATTTAATGTTTTTTTTGACACGAAAATGAATAATGATTTTAATGTTTTTTGTACTAAAAGGAATTATGATATGTTAGGATTTTAAATTTAAATTTTATTCATTTTGCAAAAAATATAAAATGATCTAGTTGACATTAATTCTTGAAATTTTTTTAAGATAATTGTGAAATTAAAAAAAAATGTAAAATTGTTTATGTGATCTATAGATTATCAATTTCCGAGTTTTTAAGTTTTTGAGGAAAGAAACGTGTGCGAATTGAAACGAATTATATTTATGTTTTAACCAAAAAGACTGAATTTGTTAACTAGTATCGGTTAATTTGTATGGACGTGAGATTATTTATTTTAACGTATGATTTGTATTTGATTGGTTTAGTGGTAAAATATTGATGAATTTAATAATTTAATTGCCATGATCTATGTATTTAGTATCTCCTAAGTTATGGTGTATCAAGTAAGTCCAGTTTCAAGTAAATTTCATGTATAAAGCTGTTATTTTAAATGTAGTCATGATATTAAGGTTATTGGGTGGTTAATCTTAGTAAAGTTTAGACTTATATCTCTTGGTATAACTTTATGCGGAAAAAAATCTGCATTTTTTGCGTTTACTATAATTTAAAAAAAAATGTTTAGAATCTACCTTGATCACATTTTAAGGTAATCATTTAGATTTTAATAGAAAAGACAATTAAAGACTGTTTTCTTTTATCTTTTTGCTCAATGTCAATCTGCAGTAAACATAGAGTCGATCAATAACGAACACATTAAAAATAAAAAGTTTATGGTTGAAAAAATTTTATACTCTATGGTTGCTGGAGCTATTCATAGATTAGTATTAAAACCATCAAACCATCTCATTAACGCACATTCACACCATCGAACATCATATGTGTGCTTTCTCATTTTTTTCGTTAAATATAATTTAATACAAATAATACGTTTTACCTTCAAGTACGTTGATAAATAGTTGTCGTGGCATTTAAATAGATTTTATGAAAACCGTTAGAAATTTAAAACTTCTGTAATATTAAAAAAATAATATGCAATAATTTTAACAATATTACATTTAGACATGCTCTACTATAGGTTAAATAAAATAATGTACGCGGCACACAGACGGCGATAATATCGCTAAAGAAATAAACTAAAAGTATACTATAATTATGCCGTAACACAAAAAAACATACAGACGAATTGAGTACCTCCTTCTTTTGGGAAGTCGATCAAAAACAAATAAGGCAGTTATTACCTAATATGTAGAGATTGTCACAAATATTTTTTTAAAATATGCAAATACTTTTTTTTAAATAATCCACTGTTGAGTTTTTAAACAGCCTTGCATCTTGACAATGCGAATTTCGTGATTCCTTTAATGTTTATAGCGAATATTTTGCTTAGCGACTTGTTCTAATTTTCTATTTCAATTACTATGTAGGAAAAAAATCTAGTTTATTTTTACTTGATTGCGTAGATTTGCCGTCTGTGTTTTGTGTACCCGAACTACGGTAATATCTCACTGCCATATTTAATATTGAAGCCAGAATTTACAAGTAGCGTTTAAGATGTAGAAATTGTATAGAAGGTAAAGGTATCTTGAAATTATAATAGTTTGGTCTGTATTTTAGATTTTGCTTCTTGTGTAATCTTGTTCGGACAATAGTTAAATAACTTGTAGCGTATTTCCATACAAATATATGAATCTTAATAATCGCAGAACTTTCGCATTATAAAAAGAATTAAATTTTGAATTAAACTTGTGACATGTTAGTGTTTAAACGCAGTTTTTTTATTATTTAGTAATCAATAGTAATTTAATGTACAAATTAATTATTTCCTTCGTGCTAATGTTAATATAAATTATTGTAGTAATTTCATTAATTGCTTTACAACAAAAAATTAAGATTTTTTGGTGCTACCAATAATTACTGCACCAGTTAATGTATTCTGCCAGATGACTTTTGTTAAGGTACTTAGCTGGTAAATATAACAGTGAGTTCCCACTGTCGCACGTGTATAAAATTATTTACTAAACAGAGGCAACTATATTAAGATGTTACCAGTGGAAGCTTACGGTTATTGAGTTTGTAAGCACCGTGTGTATCATTTAATTTTATTCTAATGTAACATAGTGTGATTTTTTTTACATTTTGTATGTACCAAACATTGAGATTGCATTTGAAAAATAATATAATATAAAAATTGATGTTGTTCTTTTCATTTATCCTTGTCACGTATTAACAGTAATAGAGACAAAAAAGCCAAGTGGATGACATATTATATATCATATATTTTTTTCTACCAAAAAATAACATTTTTTTCTTAATACTCTAAGATTGAATTCATATTAACACTTGTTTTGGTGACATGAATACAGTTTTCATCTTGTCAGATAACAAATCGTCGCTAAATCGTTAACCAATTCTTTCGCTTTAACTTCGCTCATTTTATCGATAATCGCATGTAATTGTCCTAACATTTAAAAATACAAGTCATGAAAATATATGCCGACATACATCATGGATTTTATAATTTGAGACGACTTTGACTTCTACGTTCAGTCTCGTTAGATTAAAAAGATTGTCATGAGTTAATTATCATTTAATAAAATCTGATGTTCTATAAGATTTTTGTATGACAAATGTAAAAATTGAACTATTTAACTACGTCGTAGTCTTTGACTCCAAAAATGAGACCCACCTGCAAGCACTACCTTTCAGATAAAAAAAGAATTATAAAAATCGGTCCACTAGCGGCAGTCATGCCGTAACACACATAAAAACATACAGAGGAATTGAGTACTTCCTTCTTTTGGGAAGTCGGTCAAAAAAACTATTCCATTATTTAGTAACATAAAAAACAAGAACACTAAACAGTTATAGGTTCCAAAAGAAATTCTCTTTGTTCTATTTCCTTAGTTTGCTTGCAGGTTTCTTAAACTAAAACAGTAAGTAACAATATGGAAGAAGTTGTGCTATGATTGTGTCAAATGGAACTTGAATCCTTAACTACTCCTTAGGATTACAGAAGGATGAGACAAGCTTAACACATTCAATGCCACTACAATTTTTAAGTACCAAAAACACCCAGGGCGTTAGCAATGTGTTATATTCTTATTGTTTTTTTATGCATACAGGTTCAAATGGGTCGCTAATATATTTACTTTACCTGAAGAAACTGCAGCTATTAACTCTTCTATCTCTGCGCGCTCGTCGGTTGAAAGGACTGTGCTAAATGAAACAACTCAAAATGTTGAACATCTTAAAACAGATTAGAAATAAATTATACATTTGGATGTAAATATATATCTATACTATTATAAAGAGGAAAGATTTGTGTATTGAAATAACTCAAAAATACTGCACAGATTTAAAAAACTCACCATTAGAAAAATGTATCTGTAACATGGCTCTTATTTTTTTATTTCACGAAGACAAGGTGCGAGCGATAGCTAGTATATAAACAAACTCATATATAACTGCTAAAATTACTCTAAATTAAGCAGTTTTAATGACAATTATATGCAGAGTATAGTCATGTTTGTAGCTCTTTACCATGACAGGAATGTTTGATTTGTGATTAAAAATGATGTCCACAATACCTTCGTTTCATAAAGTCGATACACCAATGATTTAATTGCAAATTATTAGGCCATGGTCTGTTAATGTTGAAACAATCCAAACCATCAATTTTTCCAGTAAAAGTTTATCTCTCATTTATGGTTATGTTACTATTTACTCCTATGGTTCTACAATATTTTGGAAGCTTTCGATGTAAAATTACAGATTAATAAATTGTATAGAGGAAAAAAAGCTAGTTACATTTGTTTTAATTTCATGGGTTATTAAATGAGTAATGCTTACAAATTTGAGCTTTAAAGTTTATTGTATATATGAATACATGAAATGGATGACTACATTTTTGAAATCTCTACAAAATTGTTAATAATATCAATATTAAGTTTCTACAAAGACTCATAATGTTATGGTTCCTATTTCTTTGACTTATTTTTAATGTTTATTAAAATATAGCATACATGAGTGAAGCATCTTATACTATTAACTAAAAAATGTCTGTTTGGTCTTAAACTGTGATACATATGTAAGATAAAATGTTATTCTACTTTGTGTTTAACAAAATAAATGTTACAAAAATATGTAGTTTTACACTTAGATATGTTAAACAAAGACATTCAAATATAATATTAATTATAGTGGACATTACAAGCACTTTACTACAAATTTTAAACACACAGGTGTTGCGAGTGCCGAACTATCCAACTGAAAACTTAACTAGTCTTTTGAGTATGAATTTTGTAATGTCCTATTATTTTTAAATGTCCTTAGTTGCAAAATATTGACTGTTTTCATTAAACAAATTGTTACAACAAATTGGTTATTCTAAACTTGAAATAATTGCAGAAATGACTCCAGTATTTACATTTTATGCCAATGTATGGATTTTCTCTTATATTTAAATTAACAATACAAAATATTAAATAAAATCACTCAATTACTCTTTGTGTTTTACTTTTTCTTTATCATGTGTCACTACCAGGTAATGCCTGCCGCATCTTCTTCCTTCAGCTTTAATAATAAGTCGACGAGTGTTATTTCGGATAGAATCCAAGCTCTGATTACTGTTCATGCCGAATATAAAGCCAAGGTTAATAACATCATGAACCCCTCTGATGTAATGATAATTATCTGCTCCACTTGATATAATAATATTATTTGATTTGCCAACAGCAAAGTAACTGTGAGCCATACTTATTATATTTCTTCTTGCAGTAGAATCTTTAATTGCTGGACTATACATCAGTTCAAAGAACAAGCCCCTTTCTACTGCTTGATTGTACAATTTGCGGCTGACTTTGAAAGGCAGCCGAGTCTGAGGGTCAAATGTGATGATATCAACATCAAGACTGGAGCATGCATATTGAAATGCTTGTAATGTCTTAGGTATAACAGCGATTATATCGTATTTCCTTAAATTTTCAGAATGATTGAACTTATGGCTAATGCTAGATTCTGAAAACTCTATTGTCACTCTCTGTAGAATGTTAATATCACCCTTGTTTAAATCTTTAGGAATGTCTACAGGATTTGGTACGAAATCTTTTTTCTCCTTTGTTTCGCCTTTACGTTTTTTCTTTTTCGGCTCATCGCTTATTTCTTCTACATGCGTATTTATAGCAACTGTATTAAGACCTAATTTCTGTAAGCAAGATATCTTAGTAATGTCGCAATCCCTACTGACTGATAAATCACAGAATCCCCAATTTTTTTGCGCCATATCGAGATACAATGTAATACGTCGAAAACACTGATCGATCGATAAGCTATCTAATAAACATAACCTTATTGAATATCTTAAACGATATATGAGCTTTATGTGTGTGCACTACGATTTTCTTCTAAAATAAAGCCTTTACACCCTATAACTATCTCAATATTTAGTCCAATTTGTTTGAATATTCTCAAAATATCTACTTCGCAACAATCAAAAAATCGCAAATCAATTTCCAGACCATATCAAATTGACATCTGACTTTGACATCGCAGAGCTCACATAAATTATAAATTGACATTGGTATAATTTTTGATGTCATGTGAAATGATTTTTCAATTTCCCATTATCATTTACCTTTTAAATATTTAACATATAGGTCGTTAGGGTCCAAATTATTTTCTCATTTAACTAACTTAACTGTACTAAGTAAAAAATGTTGAAATCCTTGCATTAAGTAATATCTGAGATAAATGTGTAAGAAAATCTTTCATTTCACCTACATCTTCTCATTCTGTTGCATTGTGGTAACATTTTGGTAGTAAATGTTTTACCAAGATTAAAACTACTTAAATGTACCATTTTTAGTAAATACGGAAAATTATTTTAACGTTTTTATTAGCAAGGAATGTGATAATCTAAATTATATTCAATTACGTTAAATCCTTGTTTACAAATAAATTAAACTTTGTATTTTGTTCAATTATTTTTCATTTCTTAATTTAAAACTGTATTTACGTAGTAGTTTGTCAAATATGAAATGTTATTTTTCGTGTTGATGAATGGTAAATATGGGAGTGCAAATAATAATATCAGGAGAATCTCAATGCGAATCTTTTGCGAAAGTATGCGCAATTGCTGACTATATTTCTCAAAATCTACCTAATTTTTGTTATAGGATAATTGAAAAGTCAGTGTTAGAGTGGAAGGTAATGGATATCTATATCAGAAAAATAAGAAATCATTAGTTTTAAACCTTATTTTTATTCTTTATTTTAGACTTGGCTTTGTAAAATAAACCTTAGAAATAAATGGCATCACAACGAATCTCCATTAATATGGAAAGAGTTATTGATTGAAGGAAGCAAGCCATATTACATAGGTGGAGCTTCAGAGTTTTTAGATTATTGTTATTCGTATTATCAATTTGAAACCTATGTCTCCAGCGAAAGATTCGAAGGTCTTATAGATAATTTTAATCAATATAAGAAGAAAGTAAGAAAAGACGATAATATTGATGATCAGGACAGTAAGGGCCCTGCAGAAGACCAAGCTAAAAATCTTACTGTTTGTATTTCGGGAGCCAGTCATCCACTATCTATGTACATAATATCTGGTCTATTAGATATGCCTCTCGGGAACAAGAGTATGGTAAAAATTTTTATTTATGACAAAGATTATTCCCAAACTTTTTTGGAGTATGTGGAAAGTGAGTGCAGCTATGTGGGTAATAATTATCCTGGTAAAGTCGTAAAGTATACAAATAAAATGGGTATGGCACTTGCAAGTTGCGATTTATTGATCATAATGGATTACGTGCCGTTTAGGTAAAATGTTTAATTGTCTATTATGCTCTGTGCTATAAATTTAAATATTAAGTGAAATTATATTTACAGTGTCGACTTATCCATTGGCGATTGGCTTGCCATGAATGCTCACGGTCTAAAAATATTAGCCCCTATGATAAATGCATCTGCCTCTCGAAACATGTATATAGTATTACCTAATCTTGGACCAGCTTGTTACAATGCCACTTTGTTGACAAAAATACTAACAAGTATTAATAAAAAAAACATTGTGGTGGTGACTTCGGATTTGGGATTGGAAATAGCACCCATTGTGGCTGAAGAAGCTGAAATAGAAATGAAGGACATGTTTTGTCCACCCGTTTGGGGATTTGTAGGCATAAACCATCTTGTAGATGTTAAAAACACAATTCATAAGTATAATGCTTTTCAACCATATAACAGATATGTTAAAGTGAGGAAATCATCGTTATGTGTTGGAGTACTAACTCCCGAATTTAGAACACTAGAATACCTTTTGCATTTCAATGAAAATTTGTGGACGAAGTTGTTGGAAGCTAAGGTAAACTTATGCCTTGTGTTGGTGTTATCGTAGTCTACTCCTGATAAACAAATAAATCTTCTACTTGATATTTCAGAAAAAAGCTAACAACGAGGAGTTATCGATTAATAAAGCTATATCATTACTAAAATTTGTTCAATTATGGCTTTCTGGTCCAAATTCGGACGATGTTCTATGTCTGGGAGTAGTATGTAATGGTATGTCCACATTTTAATTTGTTTAGGAATTAAATAAAAACTTTCCTTTCTTAATAATAAAATCCTGAAAATAAGTAAATTAATTTTTTTTCAGGATCTTTTGGGTTATCTTTTGACGGGGTTTTTTCCCAACCGGTAAAATTCACTGGAGGGTTTTGGCAGCCAGCGTGTGATTATCTAGTTCCAAAAGACCCCCATATGAATATTTTATATTTGGCAGATATGGCTAAAAAAATTGTAAACCTTAGAAAATCAGAATTACCAAAAATTGATTCTTACATTCCGTGTGCATGTTCCAAAAGAAATAAAATAATTAGTTTAGAACAAGAAGACCAGGAAAAACAAGAGAAAATAAAGACTCAAGAAGATAAGGTCCAGAAGTCAATAATTTTTACAGAGTAACATTTCAATTGTTTGCAATGTTAAATCGATATTGTGAGAATCGAATACACTTGCTTCTGAAGTTTGTTTTCAAACGTCAGATTTTAAACATTTTGGTTCTCATTACTACCAATTACTACCGAGATCCAACATCACTACTTACTACTGTCACATTTACGGCACATTTTGAAATACAATACAGAACAACCCTAGTACTTGCCGCGACGTCGGCAGTGGTTGTTGTGTGTGCTTTTGCGATTTGCGAAATGTTATGACGTGCAGTTACTGTCTTTGTTTTAATAACATTCGGACAGTGATACTGGACGTTTTTGTTAAAATAATGTAATAAGGTGATTGGGGAATGTTATCCTTTAGCCTCATTGCAATGTTTTTCTCCAAAGTATGATCGTGCCAACAGGAGTTATTAGCATAGTTAGGTGTTCGCATTGGTTAAGTTTTGTAAATGTTGTGCCAACAATGAGATAGTGTAGTGTTGTGATGTGGTTGTGGGACATGTGGGGGGTGTTTTGGGTGGTGCAGGCAGTGGCGCAGCTGATTGCCGTGGTGGCGACGCCGCTGGAGCCAGCATTGAACTTACGAGGTGAGAGGAACCTTGCCACCTCCGCTGTCATCTCCCCGCTTGTTAACATTGCATTGCATCTTGTAGTGATTTTGTTGCCGTGATAAAAACATATTTTCAAACAACTACAGACAACTTTGTGTCAAAATTAATGTTGTTTTTGAGTTTGTATAAAGTTAATTTATTTCAATTCATAAAATTATCTTGAAATGTTTTTATTTTTAGTAACTTAATGTAATAAATTTGAAATGATTTCAATTTTGTTTATCTAGTTTCAATCACTATTTTAAATTTTTAACTTTCTTTTGTTTTGCTGACTTTTATTATTTGGTTTTTGAATTCTATAAAAATGTTTTAGTTAGTCAAAAAAGCTTAATTGTACCTAACTTGCTTGTAATGCTTTTTCTTGCATGGATTTAAAACTCAGACTCTAATACAATCTTACTTTTTCTTATTATAAGTTGTGGCAGAGTTCATTTAAGATTTAAAATGTTGACACAAAAAGTAAAAAATTAAGATTAGTAAATCATTAGATACTTTTTCAAATATCTATTTAAGTATTTTTCAAATTAAAGTTATTTTATAAAAAAAATATGAACACGAATAAATCTGTTAGAGTCGGTATTTCATCAATATTAATTTGATTAAAGTGTCAAATTGTTCATTCTTATGCAACAAAAGTGTGATGTTATGTTTGAAATAAAACCTTTTTTTAGATCTAAATGTTGTTTTGATATTTTTAAAATGCTGTGACCAGCAATGTCATGTCACGGGAATACTAGAAAAGTTTTGTAGTCCAGTAAACTGTTACAATGAAAAGGAAAATGTTCTAAAAATGTTTTAAATTTAATTATAAAGGAGAACTAAAGGTTGATTTTAAAATAAATAAACATTATAACATTTTAATATTATTTCATGCTAACTTCACTATAAAGTAGTAAAAAAACCATTGCTACTAACTTTGATTATTGCATGAGAAAAAAAATACTGGTGCATTCCTATTATGTGTGTAGGATGTGTAAGGGTGCTTATTTACAGAAAAATTAGATATAAAACCGTCAGAAAATACCACTACTTTCCTTGTCACGAAATACATCAGCTGGGCATAAAGTTACATTTAGGTATTATGTCAAGATGACCCGTTTATGACCTATTTTAATGCATTACTTGGGTCCAAGATGTATTTAGAATTGATTGTACAATTGGAACTCTGTAAAGATTCTCATGAGTAACTTTCCATCAGAGAAGAGTATGACCTAATTTAGCGTTGATTATACAGCATGTTCAAATAATGTAGCATCAATTTATCTGGCTGAGAAGTTCTGCCGCAAATCCCTACAAATTGCTCGGAGAGACGATAATCTGGCGATCGGAGAGGCCCTCGACAGGGGCGGACTCCCTCCGCGCGTCAGTGTCCGCTACGCGATGGAATCTTCTCGTTTCCTTTTAATTCGGCCAACGGTGTTTTCCGATAATTTTTCCGATAGGCGTATAAGATTACGTAATTCGAAAAAAACAATATGAAATAATTATTATGCTCGTATCTTTTAAAATACAGATTGCAGAACACAAAAAAGTCAAAGAAAACTCAATAAACAATTTTTAATAATGAAATCTGCGACGTATTTTCGTATAATTTAGTTTAAGAAAAAAAAGACAACATTTTAATTAATTCGGAATATGACGAAATTGTTACTACGTAAAAAAAAACTTCCTCGACCATGATAAAAGAGAATTGATTTAATAAATAGTACAACGAACCGGATATTATAATACTATTATTGATAAATGGTTTTCTGCCCGGTGATGCAGTTTGTAACAACCATACAATGTCTTCATTGTTAAGTTTAAATTAACCCATTCACCGCCGACGGACGAGTTTTGTCAACATTTTACATGAAAAGAAATCAGTGTTTTGGTGTTTCAAATGCTATTCTAAAACTTTACACAACAAAGTTTGTGGTGCACTACGCGACCAAAGAAATAATTCCATTTATTGTTATTCCAGCGCTTTGGTGGAAGTGAGATATACCAACAAAAAGGGCCTGTCCCACCAGATTTAAAGTCTGGTAACAACCTAACGTTTAAAATATGTGATGAAAATATCGGATTTTGTTCCCTTATCTTACAATGATGTCATTTTCAAGCTATCTGAGCCTCTACCAGTAGGGGGACAGGTCCTAAATTATGTATATTCTCGTATCACGCGTGTCTAGACTAGGATAAGACGCGATTCTGTAGCGACTTGACTAATGAATGTTGCATAAGTAAAGGACTTACTGTTGACTCAAAATGATTTTTGAAACTTTGCTGTGCTTCTTCTTTTGTTTGTATTATTGAATATAATGTAATAAAATGGTATGGTATTGTGGACGTCTGAGTGACATGGGTTGCATAACAAGCGCTGCGGCATCCGGCTAACGGTAATACAGAGACCAGACGACTCGCTCTATGTTCATCTATAGATTGAAAATGACATATCGAAGTTTGGTTCAAAAGTAATCTGTATTCATGCGCAAGACAAACTTATGCAAAAATTACTTTGTAATTGATTTTGATAGGGGAAGCTGTTGGGGATTTAGTCGCCGTATTTTAATAGAATACAAAACAAACTTTACGTTAACATGTGAACAAATGGATATATCTGTCGACCCTACCAATGTTTACCGTACCTGAACGATAACATCGGATGTAACAATACCGACCTGTCATTTGTATCGACAGTTGTTCGAATTCGCGAGGTATATGTCTGGCGAATCACGCTTCCTACCATCGACAATCACTTCCCATCACGAAATAAAGATGTCCGTTTTTCTTTATACGTGAGCTTTAACTTCGTGACTGACCGATACAATGCTTCTGACGGAAGTTTGTCACTAAGTTGCATTTTAAAATGATCAACCTATTGAGAGTGTCGCTTTAGATTTGCTTTTTTAATACTTTTATTGTCCAATTGAGTCCAGTAAAACGTATTCGGCATACGAGAAGGTAATTTGAATTCATTGTATTAAACTGCTTGTCTTTTTATTTGACAAAAAATATTGCTACCAATCTTTCTATACAATCTATGTAATCGTTTTTTTATATTACTAATCTTGTTAAGCATTTAGCCCAATAACGGTTGTGCTAAAATCATTTCCACCTACTCGCTGTGATTAGTTTAGGATCGGTTATTTGGTGGGCGGGCATCTGTCACGGAGATGTTTACGCACGTATTGGCCAGGGGAGGGGATCACGTTGACCGAGATTGGTATAACTTTATTATTCATATTTACTACTTGCCATATGTTGCGAATTTTTGGTCAGTTTTATCCTCATTGACGCGTTTTGAGACATTTCGCAATATTAATTTAATATAGAACCAAGGATACCATCGATTATTAACATTCTTTTTTCCTGTTCTCTTGTTTTTTTATGTCTCTATGTTTACAGTTGTTTTTATTTAAGACTTAGCCCGCGTTAATTAAATGATAATAAAAAATATTGCCTTGAGTTATTTTAGTATTTACAAAAATACAAATCTTTCCTCTTTATAACATATATAGATATATAATACCTATAGATTTAACTCACATGAACACTATGGTTTAGTAAATTGTCTACACAACATTTTTATTCATTACTATTATGTTAAAACGACGTGCGAGGTCATTTTAATTCTAAATTGTACGTTTGTATACAATATCAGGGAACGTGAATTGAAACAATACCTAAGCCAAGTATTGTTACATTCTTAAAGCTAAATATGAGTAAATCTTGATAAATGCCGTGAGTAAAGAGAATAATGATATTACGACACAATTATCAATGATGGGAAACTTGCGACACTATTGTGATTCAAATCTCGCACCATGTGTTAGGGTATAGACTATAACGAGCAGGCACAGTTGCAATGAAAAAAAAATAATGGCAAAAGACACGAAACGATTTTTCTACATACTCGAAGCTAGATCCATTAGATTTGCGGAGGGACATCAGTTCCTTCTGCATCTTTTACCGCATTTACCACTGGGAGTGTTCAGAGGATCTGTTTGGAACGATTCCTGCTGCCGAATTTCTTAAACGGAACGACAGACCACCAGGTACCATCCTCACCATGTCGATGGCTGGCATTCCACATCCGTCCGGTTTCGCGGAACTTTCTGCTTCGCACAGGCGTGTTGTGGAACGTTCTGTACTCGGCGGTATTTTTAAACCAGTATGACTTAGGGTCCTTCAAGAAGCGAGTCTACCATTTCCACAAAGGCCAGCAACGCATCTGTAGTTCCTCTGGTGTTGCGAATGTCCACAGGCGTCGTTGACCACCTATGTGTTCCCGCCGCTCTTTTGCCCCCTTTTCTTATTAAAAAAGTAGTAAAGACTAGATTTAAATTGTCAGACAATTTATTCTTGTTTTCTTTAATTGACAAATAATATTGTAATTCAGTTGTAAAATATTATTCATGTTTCGTATCCCTTTAGGTCTG